GAGTTTTGCTCTTGTTGCCCAGGCTGGAGTACAGTGGCGTCATCTTGGCTCATTGCAGCCTCCGCCTCCTCGGCTCAAGCAATTCTCCTGCCTCAGCCCCCGAGTAGCTGGAATTACAGGCGCCCGCCACCACACCCAGCTAATTTTTTGTATTTTCAGTAGAGACGGGGTTTCGCCATGTTGGCTAGGCTGGTCTCAAATTCCTGGCCTCAGGTGATCTGCCCACCTCGGCCTTCCAAAATGCTGGGATTACAGGAGTCAGCCACTGTGCTCAGCCAAGTTTTAATTGTTCTTATTTATTTATAATATTTACTTTGGGCCAGGCGCGGTGGCTCAAGCCTGTAATCCCAGCACTTTGGGAGGCCAAGGCGGGTGGATCACGAGGTCAAGAGATCAAGACCATCCTGGTCAACAAGGTGAAACCCCGTCTCTACTAAAAATACAAAAAGTTAGCTGGGCATGGTGGTGCGTGCTTGTAATACCAGCTATTCAGGAGGCTGAGACAGGAGAATTGCCTGAACCCAGGAGGCGGAGGTTGCAGTGAACCGAGATCGTGCCATTGCACTCCAGCCTGGGTAACAAGAGCAAAACTCCGTCTCAAAAAAAAAAAAAAAAAAAAAAAAAAAATTTACTTTGTTACTCTTACTTTATTATAAAAGCAGAAATTCTGAAGTTGAAAAGTGCAATTGACAACTAAAGAATGCATCAGAATCTATTAATAGCAGAATTGATCAAGCAGAAGAATTAGTGAGCTTCAAGACAAGCTATTTGAAAATACAGTCAGAGGCCAGGCATGGTGGTTCATGCCTGTAATCCCGGCACTTTGGGAGGCTGCGGTGGGCAGATCACTCGAGGCCAAGAGTTTGAGACCAGCCTGGCCAACATGGCAAACCCTGTCTCTACTAAAAATACCAAAAAAAAAAAAAAAAAAAAGTAGCCAGGCATGGTGGTACATGTCTGTAGTCTCAGCTACTCAAGAGGCTGAGGCAGGAGAATTGCTTGAACCACTGTGCCTGACCTAGATCAGGCAGAATTCTTTATGACAGAAACACAACTCAAAATTGTCTTAAGAAAAATAGAATTTATTTGTTCACGGAGCCAAAAAGTACCGAGGTAGATCTTTCACTTTGAGCATGGCTGAATCCAGGTCCTCAATGATGCCAATAGGTTGTCTTTCTCACACTTTGCATTCCTTCATTCTCAGACTGAATCTCTGTTCTTCATGGCAAGATGGCCACAGAAAGCTCCAAGTTTACACTTTGCCTGCTTGTCAGCTCCAGCAGAGAGTACCTCTTTCCCTAAGACTCTACTAACAGTCCTGGAATTGAGTCTCATGAGCCTGGCTTGACTCACTTGTCTATTCCCAAACCAATCATTTGGGTAGGGAATGGGGTGTTCTAATTGGCCAGGCCTGGGTCACATGGGAGTGACCCCCATTTTCACAAAACTGAAAATGAGGAAGAGTGGTTCCCCAAAGGAATATTGGAGTGCTGTTATCAGAACAAAGGGAACTGGATGTAGGCAGGCAGAACCAACAGATGTCCACTACACTTCCACCCCTCAACCTAGTGCAAACTGATTTCCACTCCTGGCATTCACTGACATCTTTCTCACCAAAGTGATCAGGGAACTTGAGGGCCAAGAGCATCTGCTCAGCTCTCATTCTTCACCTTTCTGCTATTCACTCCATCCTTTTGCAAACTCTCCTTGACTTCCATCACCCAGCTCTAACTGAACTCTCCAGTCTCTCTGACCCACCCCTCTACCTCCTTCATATGTCTCCATCCTCTAAGATTTAGGCCTCAGTCTTTCCCTCTCTAGTCTCTGTCTATGGTCCCATTCTCTCCTGTGTACACTTCTAGTTCCCGGACATCGTCTAAATCTTCTGTCTCCTGGCAGTGACCTAAGCTCCCCCAGAGCCCTCAAACTAATGGTTCTGGCAATTTCACAGATTCATGATTTATGACCTCATCCTTTCCCCTTGCCTTTTTCCCAGCCCTTACCTCTGGTCAGTTACCAAGTTAGGCACTTCACTATTGGCACCCGATTTCCCATCAATGCTCCCCACTCAGCTCCATACCTCTGCCCTATCCAGACCTTCTCATGTCACTCCTGACATCTCTACCCACAGCCTCTGCCCCATCCATTTTGCACTCAGGGACCCAATTAACCTCCTAAGCAGTTGATCAAAACACTGCTTTATCAGAAACCTTCCACCGTTCCTTATTGCCATTACGATTCCTTAGCGGCCAGGTGTGGTGGCTCACGCCTGTAATCCCAGCACTTTGGGAGGCCGAGGCGGGTGGATCACGAGGTCAAGAGATCGAGACCATCCTGGCCAACATGGTGAAACCCTGTCTCTACTAAAAATACAAAAAATTATCCGGATGTGGTGGCACATGCCTGTAATACCAGCTACTTGGGAGGCTGAGACAGGAGAATCACTTGAACCCAGGAGGTGGAGGTTGTGGTGAGCTGAGAATGCACCATTGCATCCAGCCTGGGCAACAAGAACGAAACTCTGTCTCAAAAAAAAAAAAAAGACTCCTTAGCATGGATTGCTTTCAGGGCTCCAGAATCTATCTCTGGATTTACCTTCAATTACTCATCTTGCTGAGTCCTTCAGACTCAAGCTAATTTACTCACTGTCCCAAAAACATGCCAAACATTTTCCCACCTCTGAACTTCTACACGACACTAACATTAGATCCTCATTATTGACTCTTCTTCACCTTACCCATATTTCAAAACTGAGCTCCAAGCCACCTCTGTGAAGTCATCCCTAAATACATCCGCTATTCCTCCAATTTTGAGTGTGTACACGTTTGTTGTTCTTACATAATATGTAATGCCTCCTCTAGCAAGGGAATCACAGAAGAACTTCTTCCAAAGTCCCGCATTTCCCCAGAAAGAATGCTGTTTGTCCTGGAGCTACTACTGTTGTGAGCAACTAAAAGTTGTCTTCTGGCTGGGTGTGGTGGCTCAAGCCTGTAATCCCAGGATTTTGGGTGCATCACCTGAGGTCTAGTTTAGACCAGCCTGACCAAAATGGAGAAACCCTGTCTCTACTAAAAATAGTAAAAATTAGCCAGGCGTGGTGGTGCATGCTTGTAATCCCAGCTACTCGGGAGGCTGAGGCAGGAGAATCGCTTGAACCTGGGAGGCAGAGGTTGCCGGGAGTGGAGATCGCGCCATTGCACTCCAGCCTGGGCAACAAGAGTCTCAAAAAAAAAAGACGCAAACAATAACCACCCCCCCCCAAAAAAAAAAACAAAAACAGAGAGGTGGAAACATAATCAATTGCAGACCCTAACATTTTAACTTTCTTAAATGTTCTTCTTCCATACTTTCCTATGGTTCATACTTTAAAAGTAAATTGTGCTTTAAATCAGGCGTCCCCAAACTACGGCCCGAGGGCCGCATGGGGCCCCCTGAGGCCATTTATCCGGACCCCCGCCGCACTTCAGGAAGGGGCACCTCTTTCATTGGTGGTCAGTGAGAGGAGCACAGTATGTGGCGGCCCTCCAACAGTCTGAGGGACAGTGAACTGGCCCCCTGTGTAAAAAGTTTGGGGACTCCTGCTTTAAATAAATAAATATCCTTTTTTTATTTGCTTCATTTTTCCTTCATAATAACTATTCTCCCCCCCCTTTTTTGTCATCAAAGATATGGGTTTTTTTCATTTGTTTTTTAAAAAACACTTTCTTGTCCCCTGCTGACTACCTCTGGAAGCTTCTTGTTGACCTCTGGTTGGTTTTCTGGTTTCCTTCTTTTTTTGGCTTTTCACTTTTTTGGGTTTTTTTTGTTTTTTTTTTTTTTGTTTTGTTTTGTTTTGTTTGTTTGTTTGTTTTGAGACGGAGTTTCGCTCTTGTTACCCAGGCTGGAGTGCAATGGCACGATCTCGGCTCACCGCAGCCTCCGCCTCCTGGGTTCAGGCAATTCTCCTGCATCAGCCTCCTGAGTAGCTGGGATTACAGGCACTTGCCACCATGCCCAGCTAATTTTTTGTATTTTAGTAGAGACGGGGTTTCACCATGTTGACCTGGATGGTCTCGATCTCTTGACCTCGTGATCCACCCGCCTCGGCCTCCCAAAGTGCTGGGATTACAGGCTTGAGCCACCGCGCCCGGCTCGTTTTTTTTTTTTGTGCGTGCGTGTGTGTGCGTGTGTTTTGAGATGGGGTTTCACCATGTTGGCTAGGCTGGTCTTGAACTCCTGGCCACAGGTGATCCACCCACCTCAGCCTCCCAAACTGCTGGGATTACCGGCGTGAGCCACCGCGCCCGGCTTGGCTTTTCACTTTATTTAGGGTGTTGGCGGTGGTGAAGAAGGGTCCTTCTGGCGGCCTCTTCATAAGCTCTCCTCAACATGAGCATGATTAACTGGAATCATTGTTATTCCTATGGTGTAGACACAATTAGCCATGAAGCTATTAACATGTCCGTGATTCAAAAAAAAAACACAGAACTTTCTTTTTCTTGTCCTAGTATCTTGGAAGTCCCCAGGAGGCAGGTGCTTCCTCTTGGTCACTGACTCCCTGGGTGACTGATGCCCCTCAAACAGCAGGGCCACTGTGTTTCCCTTGGAAGCAGGTGATCCTTAAGGAATTTTCCAGGTTAGTAATTTCTGTCTAGCTCTGAAAAGACTGCAAAAGTGCTTCGTCAAAAGATAGGATTCTTGTCCCCGTTTTACAAATGAGGAAACTGAGGTTCGGAAAGCCTAAGTGGCATGCCTCTTCAGTAATCGGCCAATCGTCGTCGCCCTAACTTCACCTCTCCTCCCGGTGCAGCACTAGAGTCCCCTCAGGGGTGGCAGTGGGTCAGACCGGCTTCAGCAGGCCGGGAAGTACTGCCCTGTCAGGCTGCACTTCCGCCTCCTGGGGGTCCGCGCGGCTCACCTCGCTCACCTCTCGCGCTGCCCCAGTCACGAGTTTCCTTCGGGGGCCCGCCCCTCCACTTGCTGATTGGGTAGCTTCTCAGCCATTACAGTCCTCTGATTGGTTGTTTCCTTTTCGGCTCTCCAACACCGCTTAGGCCGACCGGATACGCGGGTAGGGCTTCCGCTTTCCCCTTCTCCCTCCTCCCGCTTGTCCTCCTCAGCCAGTCGGCACCACAGCGGCGGCTGCCGGGCGTGGTGTCGGTGGGTTGGTTGGTTTGTCTCACCGTTGGTGTCCGTGCCGTTGAATTGCCCGCCATGGCTGAGCTGGATCCGTTCGGCGCCCCTGCCGGCGCCCCTGGCGGTCCCGCGCTGGGGAACGGAGTGGCCGGCGCCGGCGAGGAAGACCCGGCCGCGGCCTTCTTGGCGCAGCAGGAGAGCGAGATTGCGGGCATCGAGAACGACGAGGCCTTCGCCATCCTGGACGGCGGCGCCCCCGGGCCCCAGCCGCACGGCGAGCCGCCGGGAGGTCCGGGTGAGAATGCGGGCGCGTTTGGGGCGAGAGGACTTGTCTGGAAACTCGGTCCAGAGTGGGTCCGAGAGCTTCTGTGTGACTCGTGTTCCTTACTGAATTAGGAGGTTACGGAGCGGTGCAAAGAGGAAACGAGACCCTGGCCCAGTCATGCAGACACCTAGGCTCGAGAAGCCTGTTCGCTTCTCAGTGTGTGAGTGCTTCTCCGCGCGGGTGGAGCGAGGAAGCAAGTATAGAGTGGCAGGCTCCGGAGCCGGAAGAAGCCCGTTCATTTCAGCAACTTTTCATTAAGCACTTGCTGTGCCTTTAGTCCGGTCTCTGAAGCAACCGCATTGGCGCAGTTTGTCCAGACCTCAGAGCAAGTCTTGAGCAGAGCACGGAACTCCAGTTATTAGAAAAGCAGGGTAGAAAAAAATAAGAATGGAAATACCGTTTTTGAGAGATACAAGCAAAAGTAGCATTGCAGTTCAACATTTAAGCTCTTCAGGTGTACAGAGTTTTGGATTACGAGGAGCGAGCATTGAGTAGGGAACTCAAGAAAGATGGTCTGGGTCTGGAGAAAGAACTCCGGCCAAGCGGGGAAGGAGTTTACTATCGTTGAGCGATTGATTTACACCCAGGACTTCCGGAGCTCTTCCGCTGGGAACTGCTTTGGCAGGTATTATTGTCCAGGCGGAACCCAAGATTAGCCTAAACCAATAAGGGAGGGATGAAGAGGTGAATAGAGAATGTTCTCAGGCAAATGCAAGTAAAAACCGGGCAGGTAGGATGATAGTTTGACCTTTGGATGCCTTACCTGTGTGTGACGCTTAGGATCATGAGTGGAAAAGTCCTATTTAATTACAGAGAAGTAGGAAATTTAGCCAGAAGAAATGAGATACGGCTTTTCATTCACTTAAAAAAATTCCCACTAAGGGAGAATAGGGCACTACTGGGGCACATAGGAGTAGAGTCTCTACTACCCCAAATTCAAACCTTAAGGGGCCAGGTGGGTAACAGACACAAGAGAAGCTGGCTTGACATGAGACAGTAGAAGTGTTGGAGACTGAGGCTTTGGTGCAGTAGAGTAGTGCTCTATGTAAAGGCATTTAGACCTAGCAGTCTCAAGTTACTGTATCAGCCAAGCAGAAACTTTTGAGGGATATGGGGGGGGCGATGCTGCTAGTTTGCAGCCTCTGAGTTTTTGACGGCACCATGTTGTTTCCTAAGTAAATCAGTCCCCCAATAAGAACTTAAAGGGAATATGTAATATGCCTGAATAGGCAACTTATAGCTAGTAGTTGAACTGAACTGGGCTGTGATTGCAAGATGAAGTTGGCCTTAAGTGATTAGGAGATATTTTTTAATTGGGTGGTCTTTAACATTTATCTGAGAATTTTAAAATTGACTTCTTAGATCCTCAGTGTACCTTCCTTATTTAGTACAAGAGAAGCTGAATCCTAGAGAAGTGACTTGCTTAAAAAAGCACGAGTTAATAGCTGAGCCCCAAGTCTACCCACTCTTAGAATGTACCACATTCTGGCCGGGCGTGGTGGCTCACGCCTGTAATCCCAGCACTTTGGGAGGCCGAGGCAGGTGGATCACGAGGTCAAGAGATCGAGACCATCCTGGTCAACATGGTGAAACCTTGTCTCTACTAAAAAAAAACACAAAAAATTAGCTGGGCATGGTGGCACGTGCCTGTAATCCCAGCTACTCAGGAGGCTGAGGCAGGAGAATTGCCTGAACCCAGGAGGCGGAGGTTGCGGTGAGCCGAGATCGCGCCATTGCACTCCAGCCTGGGTAACAAGAGCGAAACTCCGTCTCAAAAAAAAAAAAAAAAAAAAAAAAATGTACCACGTTTTGTTGCAGTGTTTAGTTGTTTCAGCAGGGGTGTGGTGTGGTAAGAGGCAGTTGTGGCTGTCCCACGTAGAACAGATTTGGAAGAAGCAGGACCTGAGAGCTATAGTTGGAAGATTGTCCTGATTCAAGGACAGTGTTACTGTTTTATCCCCACTACCTAGCAGTGTGTCTGGCATGTAGTAGATGCTCACATTTGACAAAGAAATGGGCAGAAATGTCAAATCCAATGGTCCTATGTAGAACTGACAGATCTTGGTGACGGGCAGTTAAGGAAAGTAAAAGGGAGAGAACAGCGTTGGATACTTAGGTCCTTTGTGCATTGAGGCTTCAGCAAAAGGAAGGAAAGAAATGGTTGCTGACTTAGTTCCTAGGAAGGACTTTCTCAGTGAACTAAGCATTTGTTGACTTAAAGCCAGATTCCTGACAGTGTAATTGAGGTTGGTAATATGCAGTGGTCAGCATTTCCTCTGGGGATTACAGAATTGGACACTTTTTCTCTCTTAGTTTTCGTTTTCCTTTTTTTTTTTAAGATATGCTCTAGTGGTTAAGTTTCTATGCTATCCTAAGCTGCTTGAGTGTGAGTTTAGCTTTGTAAAAGTTGTATAATATAATTTATAATGCTATGTGGCATCTTTAGGATTACATTAAAAAGTGTCTATAAAGTGCTTACCGTTATATAGTAAGTATCCAGTGAACTCCAGCTACTGTTAGTGAGAGAAAGGAGTTACAAGGCATTTAGGCTTTGAAGTGTACTGAGGAAATTGAGAGGTTTTAGGTGGGAGCTGCCTTTCTGATGTTATACAGAGATAAATAGACAGTCGCCTATAGCAGATTGATGAGAGGAAAATAAACCAGCCCTAGCCTTGTGGAAAACTCCCATGGAGGATGGGCACAGGCAAAAACCAGAGGGGTTAGGCCTGAGCTTTGGATGACTCCCTTGGTTGTTAAGAGATTCAGAGAAGAGACATAGGTTTAGAGGCAGGAAGTAACCAGCTGGACGAAGTTACCTGGGAGGGGGATATTGAGAAGAACAGGTGGTCATGAAGGAGGCAGCACAAGTGGAGCTGTTGAAAAGCTCAATCATGAGGGCTGAGTGGGGGAAGAGAAGAGGAGAGACAAGCCATACAGAGAGTATGGCAGTGAAGCACTATTATGATTTGTTTTCTTTTTTTTTTTGAGACGGAGTTTCGCTCTTGTTACCCAGGCTGGAGTGCAATGGCGCCATCTTGGCTCACCGCAACCTCCGCCTCCTGGGTTCAGGCAATTCTCCTGCCTCAGCCTCCTAAGTAGCTGGGATTACAGGCACGTGCCACCATGCCCAGCTAATTTTTTGTATTTTTAGTAGAGACAGGGTTTCACCATGTTGACCAGGATGGTCCTTGATCTCTTGATCTCGTGATCCACCCACCTCGGCCTCCCAAAGTGTTGGGATTACAGGCGTGAGCCACCTTGCCCAGCCCTCATTTTTGTTTTCGAGACAGAGTCTTGCTGTGTCGCCCAGGCTGGAGTACAGTGGCACTATCTCTGTTCACTGCAACCTCCACTTCTTGGGTTCAGGCAATCCTCCTGCCTCAGCCTGCTGAGTAGCTGGGATTTCAGGTGTGTGCCACCATGTTCAGCTAATTTTTGTATCTTTAATAGAGACAGGGTTTTACCATGTTGGCCAGGCTGGTCTTGAATTCCTGACGTCAAGTGATCTGCCTGCATTGGCCTCCCAAAATGTTAGGATTATAGGCGTGAGCCACTGCGCCCCACCTATTCATTTTGTTTTTGACAAATTATTTCTTGTAGGAGAAAAAAAGAGATGTAGGTGAATTAAAGGGAAACTTTTGGGAGAAGTAATTTTATTGGTAACAGTGGTGGAGGGACGTTTAGGGAAATCTCATGCGTGATAGTTAATTATACTGCACATTTGCTGTGTACCAGGTACACTTTCAGATCCTGGCAATAGCTCCATGGGTTAAGTGGTAGTGTAATATTTCAGATGAAAATGGATATCAGTGTGGAAGTTCAGCAGTGTCCCTAAGGTAGCAAGGTAATAAATGGCTCAACTGCAGCTTCAAACCTAGGTCTGCTTGACTTCAAATGTTTCTGGAATGTGGAAAGTTGAAGGTGGGTTTGGGACAGAGTATTTCACTTTTAAAAACTTAATGTGGCCCTTTTATTTTTTATTTTTTGGTGCCATGACTTGGATGCCTGACCCTTTTTCTGTCTGGAGTTCCTGAACGGCCCTAGAAAGGTTCCTTCTGAAGCGTCATGTGGCTTAGTTTGGTTGTCCTAGTAAGTCAAGATATCCTTTCTGCATGTTTCCACTGCAATAGAGGATCCCTTGACTTGAGCTAGTTGTTGATTCATGTAAGAATGTTAGTGCACTAATACAGTAACTAATAAAGAGGAAAGCAGATGGCAGTGTATCTGGAGGAGTCTTCAGACAGACAGCATGTGATTTCGAAGATGTGGGATGAGGATTGGTTCTTGTTTTTTGTATGGAGTAATGATCAAAGTCTTCTATTCCAGAGATATGGAGGTTGCAGTGAGCCAAGATCGCAGCACTGCATTCCAGCATGGGTGACAGAGAAAGACTCTGCATCAAAATAAATAAATAAAATACATATCCTGTGATCCAGCAATTCTTTTTTTATAATTTATTTTTTTGAGATGGAGTCACTCTGTGGCCCAGGCTGGAGTGCAGTGGCGCAATCTTCGCTCGCTACAACCTCTGCCTGCTGGGTTCAAGCTATTTTTCTGCTTCAGCCTCCTGAGTAGCTGGGATTACAGGCTCATGCCATCACCCCGGCTAATTTTTGTGTTTTTAGTAAACAGGGTTTCACCATGTTGGCCAGGCAGGTCTGGAACTCCTGACCTCAGGTGATCTGCCCACCTGAGCCTCCCAAAGAGCTGGGATTATAGGCATGAGCCACTGCGCCTGGCTGTAACCCAGCAATTCTAAACCAAGGAATTTATTACAGAGGTAATACCTACTTTAAGCTTTGTGCCACCTACCTATATAAATTTTTAAGCATTCTACAGAGTTCTGGAAATACGAAGTTTACCAAACTAATAAAAGTATGGGGGGAGCATATTCTGTTTCACCTCTGTAATAAATTCCTTGGTGTAGAGTTCCTGGGTTACGGCCAGGTGCAGTGGCTCATGCCTGTAATCCCAGCACTTTGGGAGGCCCAGGCAGGTGATTCATTTGAGTCCAGGGATTTGAGAGGAGCCTGGACCCCATGGCAAAACCCGCTCTCTAAAAAAATAAAAAAATGAGCCAGGCATGGTGGCACATGCCTGTAGTCCCAGCTCCTGGGAGGACTGAGGTGGGAGGATCGCTTGAGCCTAGGAGATTGAGACTACAGTAAGCCATGATCAGGCCGCTGTGCTCCAGCCTGGGTGACAGAGCAAGACTGTCTCAAAAATGAAGCTGCATGTTTCTGCTCACTATGGGGTGACTCCAGGCCATACTTTTTTTTTTTTTGACCCCTTCTGCAGAACTTTCATAGAGAAATACTGTTGTTCTCTGAGACCCTTCTGCCAGTCTTCCATTTGTTACCACTGTAAACTAGAAACCCGAATCTTAAAAGCTTTTGGACTTGGGAGCTTGAGGACAGATGTGTCCACGTTTGGTGAAATTTGTATATAAGCGCATCTTGGTTTTATTGTTTTGTTGTATATAGCACCTACCACAGGGACAGCATTTACTAGTTCAGGGTTCATACAGCTTATAATACTCTATTCTACTGTACAACCCTTTGGTCCAATGTTTGACCAGTCTTGATTGACAGACCAAAATCTTATGTCTTGCAGATGCTGTTGATGGAGTAATGAATGGCGAATACTACCAGGTACGGAGTACTCTGATTCTGTTCATTGATACTGATTGAGTCTTCCTTTCCCGGATTTTAATTGACTGACCTAGAAAGAAACCCCAGTCCTTTGACTTTCCTGGATGTGTTAGTGGCTGGTATGTTATCTGCCAAAGTGGAAGGGTTTAAAGAGAGGTAGCATTGATAAAAAGAGAACTGTTTTAAAATGTTATTTACCTGGCCCTTGTGTTATCACATTGTTTCTTAAGAAATCACCCTTTGCCGGGCGCAGTGGCTTACGCCTATAATCCCAGCACTTTGGGAGGCCAAGGCAGGTGAATCACAAGGTCAAGAGATCAAGACCATCCTGGCCAACATAGCGAAACCCCGTCTCCACTAAAATACAAAAATTAGCTGGGCATGGTGGCACGCACCTGTAGTCCCAGCTACTCAGGAGGCTGAGGCAGGAGAATTGCTCGAACCCGCAGGGCGGAGGTTGCAGTGAGCCTGGTGCTTGACGACAGAGTGAGACACTGTCTCAAAAAAAAAAAAAAAAAAAAAAAAGAAATCACCCTTCAAATGACACTGTGTTAAGTGCAGTAAGTTAATACTAAGACTTTAAATAATCCTCCTTCCATCTTTGTTTATAGTCTGGTTAGGTAAACCTGCTGTTCAGTGAGTGGCATATGGAATAATTCTCTAAAGATTAACATTCGAGGTGTTTTTTTTTTTGAAACAGAGTCTCATTCTGTCGCCCAGGGTGTAGTGCAGTGGTGCGATCTCGTCCCACTGCAACCTCCACCTCCTGGGTTCAAGCGATTCTTCTGCCTCAGCCTCCCAAGTAGCTGGAATTACAGGTGCTGGCCAGCACACCTGGCTAATTTTTTGTATTTCTAGTAGAGACGGGGTTTCGCCATGTTGGTCAGGCTGGTCTTGAACTCCCAGACTCAAGGGATGCCCCTGCCTCCACCTCCCAAAGTGCTGGGATTATAGGCGCGAGCTACCATGCCTGGCCTATGTGGGTTTTTTTTGGTTTTTTTTTGGTTGGGGGGATGGAGTCTCATTCTGTCACCCAGACTGGAGTGCAGTGGTACAGTCTCGGCTCACTGCAACCTTTGCCTCCTGGGTTCAAGCAATTATCCTGCCTCAGCCTCCCGAGTAGCTAGGATTACAGGCATGTGCCACTCCTGCTCAGTTAATTTTTGTATTTTTAGTAGAGATGGGTTTCACTATGTTGGCCAGGCTGACCTCACATGATCCACCCACCCAGGCCTCCCAAAGTGTTGGAATTGCAGGAATGAGTCACTGTGCTCGACCTATGTTGTTGCTTGTAAGGTAGTTCTTTAACATTTTACAATAGCCACCATCGTTGTTAGAACCAAGGGTTCTAACTTGGATGAAATACATTTCAGGAAGGAATTCTTGGTACTAATAGAGCACAATTGTGTTTTGTGTTAAGGAAAGTAACGGTCCAACAGACAGTTATGCAGCTATTTCACAAGTGGATCGATTGCAGTCAGAGCCTGAAAGTATCCGTAAATGGAGAGAAGAGCAAACGGAACGCTTGGAAGCTCTTGGTAAGGAATCCCTTTCTGCCTTTGGGTGTCTATTTTTAGTGGAGTAGTTGACCTACACTCTACTTTTATCCCTTTTTAGCTTAAATTAGCCAGCATCCTTGTCTGGTCTTTGGGAAGATAACTTTCTCAGCCTGAAGGTTACAAGGCTACCTGCACAGAGATGCCCAATCACAGGCCATTCCGTGAGGAATAAGGTGGCCTGGAGAGCCCCAAGATCCTCTCACGGGAAGAGCATAGAGATGCTGTGACAAGAGCCCTGGACTTGGAGTAAAAGACTAGATTCCATCCTAAACTTACTAGCTGCGGTCGCTTGATTCTCAGACTTCTCAGTCTTGCTTGTGTCATTGTCTTTGAAGTAAAATGAGTGTTACTGACCTCAGGAGTAACCTCAGCTGGTGTTTATGGAGTGCTTTGTAAACTTGAAGGATTCAGGTTTCACACGTCCATGGACTTTTACGGTCCATTTTTCATTTGAAAGCTGAATGAATTTAAGGTAACAGGAAAATAAGGTATGTTAGGAAAAATGTACAATTTGTTTTTCCTACCTTAATAACTCTGTAAGGTAAGTTTTACAATTTTACAGGTGAAGAAAGTGGAGGAGAGGTAGAATAAGTATTTGGAATACTCAGCTAAGAAATGGTATGAGTCACAATTTTCAGCTGACATCTGCCTTGCTTCAGAGTCACTGCCCATCCCCATAAGCCACATTGCTTTGTAAACATTTAATGTGTATGGCCATCTAGTCTCACAGCCTGGCCTTTGATAAAGATTTGTGTACATGGAGTGTCACCTGTTGGTTTGTGATCAGGGGAGACTTGTGTCTATACATGGTGGATTGGAGAAATATGCAGAGTATGAAGATATAATCCACACTGTGGTCTTTTCTTTTTCTTTTTTTTTCTTTTTTTTTTTTTTTTTAAGATGGGGTTTCACCCTGTTGGTCAGGCTGGTTTTGAACTCCCGACCTCAGGTGATCCGCCCGCCTTGGCCTCCAAAGTGCTTGGATTACAGGCGTGAGCCACCACGCCCGGCCTGTTTTTTCTTTTTCTTTTTTTATCAGCTGATTTTAAGATTCATCTTTTCTCAACTTTACAGAAGAGGAAAATAAATGTATACATCCCCAGATTCAGTAAATAGTATTTCACCATATTGGGTTATCTTTACATAAATGATATATTCTGTACATACACACACTTACACAAATTGTTTTGGCTGACCTACTGTAAGATACAGACACCATATACTTCATGTCTAAATATTTCAATGTACACCTCCTAGAAGTAACGACATTCTCCTTTCTAACCACAGTGTCAGCAGTATTATCCCTCTTGAGAACTGTTGAACTAGTGAAAACATGAGTCCTTATTTTTCAGATGGGATAACTGACACCCAGAAATAGGAAGGGACATGACTCAGATGACACAGCCAATTAGTGCCAAATCGTTTATCTCTCTAGTCCTTTTATCTCTCTAGTCCAATTTAGGTGGCTTTCAGAACAAAGAGTACATTTAATATTTGAAACTTTATGGCCGGGCGCTGTGGCTCATGCCTGTAATCCCAGCACTTTGGGAGGCTGAGGCAGGCAGATCACGAGGTCAAGAGATCGAGACCATCCTGGCTAACATGGTGAAACCCCGTCTCTACTAAAAATACAAAAATTAGCTGGGCATGGTGGTGCGCGCCTGTAGTCCCAGCTACTCGGGAGGCTGAGACAGGCGAATTGCTTGAACCCGGGAGGTGGAGGTTGCAGTGAGCTGAGATTGCGCCACTGCACTCCAGCCTGGCGCCTGGCAATGGAGAGAGACTGTCTCAAAAAATATATATATTTGAACCTTTATAGCACCATTCAGTAGTAATTTTTGAGGTAGAAATATTCTGTATTTGTGTTGTCCAGTATGGTAGCCACTAACCACATGTAACTGTTAAGTACTTGAAATGTGGCTTCACATTTCAAGTGTGACTTAGGAACTGAATTTTAAATTTTCTTTAATTTTAATAAATGTACATTGAAGTAGCCACATGTAGCTAGTAGCTACCATATTGATATTGAACAGTGGAGCTGTAGGAAGATTCGACAGTGAAGCTGTAGGAAAATTCGTCCTAACAGCTTTGGTCCTTGCTCATTCTTTGTGTTTCTTGAGTAGGCTTAGAGGCAAGATTTAGCTGGTCTTTGTACCACTGGAGTATTTTTCATGTTATAGAACCCAACTTTATCTTTTCTGTTTCCCCAAGCTTTAGCAGTTTTTCTTCTCCATGGAGAGAGTATACTTTGGTGTCTGGAAAGAATTATTTTTTCAATTATGAAACTGGGTACTTGGGGAATACACTTATGAGCTGTTTTCTTAATTCAAAGTGCTTTTTTGAGGGAAGTAGAACATTTGGCCCTGCATTCCAATGGAATTGAATTTACTTGATTCATGAACAAGGTGTTCCTTCAGTTTCACCTTTTTTCCTTGCAAAAACTGTGAGAAAGCACATGATGCTAAAAATAAGAGAACGAGTGCCAGTGGTTTTCAGCCTAGCTGCTGGCTGCATTCTCAAGTCGTTTCCTTTTCTGTTACCAGTAATGAGGATGGCCAGAAAGGTGTTCTCTAACAGGACTCTTCCTCTTCATCCTATGAGGGGAAGAATTAGTATTGCAGTGGCACTAAAGCTGCAGAAGCCAGAAGGTTAATGTAAATGTACTGATTTATGCAGTAACCACAGTCTGTTCAGCAGGTCACCATTTTTATTTAATTTTTTAGAGATAAATTTTATATTTTAGTCCTAATGTATAATAAATGTTAAATGATCACTAAAATACATTGAAAGAAAATACTGTCCAATCAAAAGGTAATTATTTGGAAGTGATTTCACTACAATTGAAAAGGGGGCCTTACATTTTAAATTAGGTATTGCCACATGGCACTTCTAGCCCACAGCTTCTCATTGCAGCATAGCTTCTTCTATTCCACATACATACTTCATGCCATGGATAGACACATGTTAGAGGTTTACTGTAGAGGCTGGGCATGGTAGCTCATGTCTGTAATCCCAGTACTTTAGGAGACTGAGGTGAGAGGGTCACTTGAGCTCAGGAGTTGAGGACCAGCTGGGGCACCATAGTGAGACCCCATTTCTAAAAAATAGCTGGGGGTGGTGGTGCAAGCCTGTGGTCCCAGCTACTTAGGAGATTGAGGTGGGAGGATCACTTAGGCCTGGGAGATTGAGGCTGCAGTGAGCTGTGATAGCACCACCACACTACAGCCTGGGCTACAGAGTGAGAGCCTGTCTCAAACAAAACAAAAATATGTATATACTGTATATACTTTAGAGTCATCAGTAAAAAATCTGAGAAAATGATTCTTCTAAAGGATAGATCACCTTCTGACAAATTAGCAAGATGAGCATTCTTTCTAACCTCAAACTTGGGGGAGTTTCTAGCTGCTATTAGGCTTTTCCTTGGAGTTACACACAGTCTTTTGCTGGTTGTTACTATAAGACGTTTCTTGGAAAGGCCCTAAAAATTGTCTTCGTTTTTCATCCCTTCTAGTAGTTACTTGATGCCACTACTGCTTTCTACTCTCCTCAAAGACACTAATTACAGTTTGGGCTCTTGTGCTGTTCTTCTGAAACTGTTCAGATTGCTGGTGGCCACTTTCTAGTCACATCTTATGATTATTTCTAGGCTTGACTCCCTTTCTGTCCCTCACTTTGGAGGAAGCATAATGAGGTAAACAAAGTGCAAGCTTTAGAGCCAGATCTGGATTTGAATCTTGGATCTGTCACTTATAATAACCTTTAGGAAGTTCACTCAAACTTCCTGAGCTTTAGTTTTTTTCACTGCTGAAAATGGGATCAGAGTTTACCTTCTTGGGATTATTGTAAAGATCGAGTGAGATAGCTATAAAACCCCAGCCAGACAGACAGGATGTCTAGAAGAACTTGTTTAAAGTGAAGTATCAGGTTAACTCTAAGTGTCAGCTGCCTCAGTAGTTATGACATGTATTTCTTTTCTTTTTTTTTTTTCTTTTTTGAGGCAAGAGTCTTACTTTGTTGCCTAGGCTGAAGTGTAGTGGCACGATCTCAGCTCACTGCAACCTTTGCCTCCCAGGTTCAAGCAGTTCTCCTGTGTCAGCCTCCTGAGTAGCTAGGATTACAGGCATGTGCCACCACATCTAGCAAGTGTTTTGTATTTTTAGTAGAGACGGGGTTTCACCATGTTGACCAGGCTGGTCTTGAACTCATGACCTCAGATTATCCACCTGCCTCAGCCTCCCAAAGTGCTGGAATTATAGACATGAGCTACCATGACCAGCCAGCATGTGTTTCTTGAACTCCCACTGTGTACTGATGTATGTCTTTTTGAGACAGAGTTTCGCTCTTGTTGCCCAGGCTGGAGTGCAATGGTGTGATCTGGCCTCACCACAACCTCTGCCTCCTAGGTTCGAGTGATTCTTCTGTCCCAGCCTCTTGAGTAGCTGGGATTGCAGGTGTGTGCCACCACGCCTGGCTAATTTTTTGTATTTTTAGTAGAGATGGGGCTTCTCCATGTTGGCCAGGCTGGTCTCAAACTCCCAACCTCGGGTGATCCACCCACCTTGGCCTCCCAAAGTGCTGGGATTATAGATAGGCGTGAGCCACCGTGCCCAGCCATCTACTGATGGGTGCCTCTTCAGCTCAGTGTATTAGGGAAAACTATATTTAGTCCTCAGAAACTTCATGTTTTATGTTTGAGAATCCAATCTAGGCAAACCTGCTAGTTACGCATTTTCTTGCTGTTATTTCTAGAACCTTTTGGCTGTTAACAATTATCCCATACCTCTACCCTCTGCACTTCTCTCCAGTGGAGTTTCTTTTGTAGTTCTACCCTGCCTCTGCCACAAACGCACTCTGTAGACTAAGTAGGAGTAAATGCTTTGTGGTCCTCTCCAGTGCTAATATTCTGTGTTTTATCATTCTCTGGTTCCTCAGTCATCTCTGCTTTTGGTAATTGTCCTAAGAGCTCCCTACTTCACAAAAGTACTTCGACTATATTTAGTTACGAGAGTGCCATCTTGTGTTCCAAAAAACCATTGTCAAACTTGGAATATGGACTACTAGTTTGTGAGAAAAGTTAAAAGATTATCTAAGATGAATACCCTACTCTGAACTAATATTGGCAGCATTCATAAATAATCAGTTATGTTTTTTTCCCCATTGGTGCCCAGAGGCTTTTTTTCCTATTAATATTAAAAGTCAGTATTTCCACCTACACCCTTCTTTTTTCCTCTGCCAAAAACAAGACAAAACACAACTAATGACCCACTAAGATGTCAGTGGATGGGGTAAGACCAGGAATAGGATCCAGGAACAGGACTGTGGAAAAGATCAGGAAGGAATAGAAGCACTGAAATCAGAGTTGGTTGTGCAAATAGGAAAAATAGTTTATCTTCCCTCCCTACTCCTCTCCCCCAATGTGCACACAACTATGGACCGGCACCCGCCACAAATTCAGTAAGCCTCAGTTGTATTGTCTTTCTCTTCTCTCCCTTCAAAGATGCCAATTCTCGGAAGCAAGAAGCAGAGTGGAAAGAAAAGGCAATAAAGGAGCTAGAAGAGTGGTATGCGAGACAGGACGAGCAGCTACAGAAAACAAAAGCAAATAACAGGTCAGTGCATGGTGGTTGTAGCACACTTTATTTTCCAAATTGAATCAAATCCATTCTCAGCATGCAGCCTAGGTTTTTGGCTTCTGCCGCCTTTAGTGTGAAATGTCTGCAGTTTTTAAAGAAAGTGCTTGAAACAGGTTGCAAGTCTCTCGGGTCTTGTGAGCATAATTCGCTCTATTGTTTAGCCATCCCAATTGTAGTGACCTTAGCTGTCTGAGAGTTTGGTTAATACGCATCACCTGTAATGGTGTGATTCAGCCAACGGAAAAGTTACTTTTCATGGAACTCTGAAATGAAAGGTGGGTTTCATGAGTGCACCCAGATTTGGATACTTTAGATAAGATTATAGACTTGGTCATGTTGAGTCTCCTAAATAAAGCCCTGCTCTCTGAAAGCTACTTCATGAAGGGGTCCATTGGAAGGAAAATGTGCTTTGTAATTAGGCAGCCAAGGATGTTCCAGTGTAATTCCTTTAGAATTGAGGGTTCTGTGGGTACTTATCTGTGCCTTAAAAAGTCTTGAACTGACTTCTTAAAAACGCTCTGTTCAAAATAGATTTTACTCACTTATTGATGGTTAAGGAGTTGTGGGGAGAAAAACATTTTCTTTTATTTTTTTTTTCTGAGACGGAGTTTCGCTCTTGTTACCCAGGCTGGAGTGCATTGGCGCGATCTTGGCTCACCGCAACCTCCGCCTCTTGGGTTCAGGCAATTCTCCTGCCTCAGCCTCCTGAGTAGCTGGGATTATAGGCACGCGCCACCATGCCCAGCTAATTTTTTGTATGTTTAGTAGAGACGGGGTTTCACCATGTTGACCAGGATGGTCTCGATCTCTCGACCTTGTGATCCACCCGCCTCGGCCTCCCAAAGTGCTGGGATTACAGGCTTGAGCCACCGCGCCCGGCCGAGAAAAACATTTTCAATCTCATTTTCAATCTCATATCACTCCCTACCAGCAGCTGGGCTTTAATGCCCTGCACTTAGAGCCCTTCTTGGAAGCAACGGAGAGGGGGAGAGAGGCATATGTGGTGTTGCTTCCCTCAGGACAGGCAGGTAGATTGTTTCATTTCCTAGGTTCAGAACCCAGCTTTCACCAAATAGTCACTCCATTCACCTCAGTGTATAAACGGGCCAGACCAGGCCTGAGGATATTTTTTATTTTTAGGGTAGAGCCTTAGGTTCCTGTGCAGAGGCAGGAAGCAAGTTGGATTAAGTGTCCTTGTCTCTAGCAGCTCTGTTAGAGATCTGCCGGGAGAGAGAGTGTAAAACGGCTTTACCAGCCAGCGCCGTTGTGAGGCAACTGTGATAGAGCAGTTGGACTCTTTTGTACGCTAGCAGCCCTTCAGCTCATTGGGTTCCAGCTTGACCATGTCTTGGCCACCTTCCTCTGGGGACGGCATGCTCAAGGAGTGCGTGTCAGGTTCCATGTGGAGATCTGGGGGACTGCTCTCTGGTGTGCAGGAACTGTTCTCTGGTGTGCAGGCTGGGTTGCCAGTGGTGTTGGCTTCCATCAGCGACATGGGGCTGCTGTTGAACCTGTGGTCAGGAGGTGCTGACGGGTCCAGGCTCCTGTGTCCTCTGCTCCCTCAGGATGATTTTCTTCCTGGTGTTAAGTTCAGATTGGTAAAGCCAGGTGAGGACTGAGTGCAAGCACTGTTCGAGCCCTGGGAGCTCCCCTAGCCAGTGGCCTTGGCACTGGAGTTGACTTTGAAGTACTGTAGCCATGCTGACCCTCCCTGTATAGGGTCTCTGATGCTTTAAGAACTTGACACACACATTTTCAAACTTAGACAATGAATATGTTGGTAATAACCTTTCTGTTGCAGCTATTTTTTCGAGTCAGTTTTACTGAACTGTCAAGAAAAGGAAACTCTCTATACAGAATCTGTTGTTCTCAGAAGGAGTAATGACACCTGTTTTTAGGAGCTCGGTCTTAAAAGTTTAGTCCCTCCAGGCATTGAGTTTAGGCCTTGGTACCTTTCTTTACTTGGAACTGTAGAGTGTTGGGTAAGTTGGTTTCATAGGTGAACCTCTCAAGTTCCAGAGAGAAAAAGGAACTTCCCCAATACTCAGTGAGAATGTAGAGCTGTTTAGAAAGCATGTCACGTGCCTTTTGGGAACCTTGTAGCACAGGGCTGACCCTGAGAACATAAAGCTAGTGACATACCTGCCACTGTCACTAGGGCTCTAGGACAGAAGGGATGGTTTTTACACTTTATTCCGGTGATTCTTGACTGGTTGGTGGCGGGAGCCATATGAGAGTCACTTTGGGGGACTTCTTCCAAGAGTCTACACCCTCCCCTGGAGATATTTATGTTGCTGATTATTCTCCTTCCCCATCCATGTTTGATTCTAAACTTTAGAGTTCAAAGGAATAGGTCCCACTTAGACATAATTTGTCCTTGTTATCTGTCTGTGGGTAAAGAGTGAATATTTTTAGAAAAGAAAGTGGGGGCCTGACACAGTGGCTCACACCTGTAATCCCAGCATGTTGGGAGGCCTAGGTGGGTGGATCACTTGAGGTCAGGAGTTCGAGACCAGCCTGGCCAACGTGGTGAAACCCTATCTCTACTAAAAATACAAAAAATCACCCGGGCGTGGTGGCAGGTGCCTGTAATCCCAGCAACTTGGGAGGTTGAGGCAGGAGAATCACTAGAACCCGGGAAGTGGAGGTTGCATTGAGCCGAGATTATGCCACTGTACTCCAGGCTGGGCGACAGAGCAAGACTCAGTTTCAAAAATGAAAAGAGAAGAAAATGGGGTGTTCATTTCAAGCAAGTATCATTCTCTGTGGGTGACTCCTGCAGTAGCTGGATGTTAAGGGGACCTGAGAGATAAGGCAGAAAGATGAGAAGTTTGAAAGAGGAAACTCGGGGACAAGAAGGGCATCCAGTTATTGTGAGAGCCTCCTCAGGCCTCCTGCCTGCTAGCTGCCTCATCACTTGGTCACCAAAGCACTAGGAGTACATCGTGCCTGGCACTGCGCTGGGGGTGGGTGTGCGGCAGGCGGACGTGATTCTTGCCCCGCACAGTCTGTAGTCTATTGTCAGTCCCCAGACTGCATCTCCCTCCTTTTATTCCAAATCGGGGCCTAAATGTCACTGCACAAGAGCTGTGAATTACTCAGTGACAGCCATGGAAAAGAATTTCCTTTTCATAGGAGCCAGCCAGAGCAGTGACTGACTCCTGCAGTTGGATGAGTTTGCTCATCAAGAACAACCCCAGAACATTTCCCTGTTACAGGTAGCACTTGTGCTTGTCAGCTCTTTCAATGCTTGGGAAGGTTTGGGGAACCCACAGTTCTCAGAGATGGCAAAAATTTTTTTCTATGCCCACTTTGAGGCTGTTCATGGAATGAAGTTCTGCATTGTCTTCATGCCTTCAGAGCTTGTCCTGGGTTAGGCGTTCCTCTTCCCTCCCATCTCCTGAGCCTACCTGAGCCTATTCTACCTTGGCTGAGGATTGCTACTTTCAGGTCCCCCATCTGCTGGGTGGAGAATAAACAAGCAGAGGGCCACCGGTGTTTGTGTCTGATTTTCTGTTTGTTCTGGGCCTACAACCTTGACAGGAGCTGTGCTTGTCACTGAGGAGCTCTTTGGTCTTGAGCTAGCTGCAAAGGAACAAGAGCCTGACATTCAGACTTTTGTTGTCTTAGTGGTGCTTTGACAGGAGTCATGAAACCCCTATTCTCTTCTAGTTGAGGGAAACCCAAGTTGAAATTGATCAGGTTTAGCCCTTTGTGTAAACTGAAAGGATTGTGGGTTTACAAGCCAGCCAGCCTTGCCTTTGCCTCCCAATCTGCCCACAAACAACTCGGTTTTCCTGCTGAGTCACTTTAAGTTACAATCAGCCTGCTCTTTTTACTTTCTTTGCATTCCCATAAAACACTTACCTGTGTATAAGCCAAAATGGGAAAGAAGAAAGGGCAAGTGTGAGCTTAAAAATTAATTGAAATTAAAATTACTAGAATTTACTTTCAAATAAATGGGAGCTTAGTCTAATGATCAGTCATGATTATCCTTGAAAAATGTCTTTCCCCTCGCCCACCCCAAGCCATCTTGACAAAAGACAGGGTAAGACTCCATGAGGGAGGTTCCCTACCCAGCCACAGTGGACAGGAGTGGGCTGGCTGAGTCCCGGGAGTCATTCCAGGGCAACAGAGAGTCAAAGCCAGCCTGGCCTCTGCTATGAAAATTTCTCCACCCAGTCTGCCCCTCCTTCCTGTCTGAGAGCCCTGCCACGTTGAGAGTTAAGAAGGGATGAAGTTCTGGAATCTGGGTTACACCTTGCCACAGCCAATTGAATCTGGTGTAGTAATATTCAGAAACTGTACTAGCTTCTTGAGCAGAGAGCCATATTCAGGAACAACAGAAGCCAGGGCCAGAGTCCCGTGTTCTTCCCACCAGACCTCACCTCCAGCTGCTTTTTTCTTTTAAGGTTGAGGTTTTGAAATGACCATATGTGTTTTTAGGACTCTGAAAATGTATCCCACCCAGCCAATATGGGGAAGCAGTAGTTGGATAATCCAAGATAAGACTGGCTTTGGGTCCTAGCGCATCTGGTGTCTGGCAGGATTCCTGCCTGGTGATATTTACTGAGACAGGCAGGAAGGTGGCTTTCTGGGCACACACAGGCAGGGAAGAAGCATGACTATACAGTAGAAAGAGCCCTGGACTTCGGGCCAGGCTGCCTTAGTTGTGAGTCCTGAATGCTGCCACTGTGGTGTAGCCAAGCAAGTTGTTTCATCTGTAAGCCTCAGTTACCTCATCTGTACAGCAGGGGTGAGAACAGTGTCATAGATTGTTATAGTTAAGGACTGAATCAACGTAATGTATGTGAAAGGGCTTAGTCCATGATTGGGTGCTTAATAAATGCCCATTGCTGCTGGGGTAAGCCAGAGGGATGAAATTGGCAGTTCTCATTCTATCGTGGAGAAATTCCTATGTGGGAAGGCCAGTGGAAAACCAGGCCTGCTGAAGTCTTCAGCGCTGGAAGCCTCACGGGGGTTAGGAAGGAGCCCTGAGAGCAGCTCCTCAGAGCACAGTTGCACCTCGATTGTGGATTTTAGATGTTTCTGCTTCTCAATGTTCTCTCTTTTTTCCTGCCTGCTTGCCTGCCTTTTGGACCTCTTGCTGTCTAGGGTGGCAGATGAAGCTTTCTACAAACAACCCTTCGCTGACGTGATTGGTTATGTGTATGTTGCAAAACTAATTCCTTTTTCTTGTGATTCTTTCTACTTTTTGTTTAGAGTTAATGCTCCTTTTATGTCACAAGTTGCTTTGCTTTTTAAATTATTTCAAATTGGCACTTTGGGGGCTACCTAAGAAGTGATAAGTGGGGTATGATCCATGGATGAATCTTCCAGAATTGTGACTCCCTGTATCCTCTGATGGCTATTTTTCATATTTGGGGTTTTGGAGGGAAGAAAGCTAACTCCCTTTCAAAATGTGTCATTTGTGATCTTATCTGGGAAGGATTTGATGCTGGGGGGAACTCTGCCCTCTTGCTCTTGCTGCCATCACTCTGCTAATGCCCTGTTGCCTGCCTGCCCCAGGTGGGAAGGAAGGAGGTCTCCCCACCTGGGAACAGGTGACAGTCCCAGGAGGTTAGAAGCCAGTGAGCAGCAGCACCTTGCATTGCTAAAGTCAGAGCTGTGGGGCAGCATTTTCCATACTTGGTTCATTCAAACAATGTGGGGTCTTTTGCCTCTCCCTCAGGCAGAAGAGTCCAGAGCAGAGGGAGTTGTCTCCAGTGGGTGTCTATAATTGTTCCTCTGTGGTCTTGCATGTCAGAAATTGCTATTTAGTGGTCAGCTTCTGATGCCCTGTCTCCTCGCACAGGGAAGCCCACAGCTTTGAGGTCAGGATAGTTAAAATGTCTGATACGGGCCACTTGGGCTTCTCCCCTGGCCCCATCTAAAAGAAACCTGCATCTTCTCTGGAGAAGCTGTTTTTTTTTTGTTTGTTTGTTTGGTTTTTTTAAGGATTCCTGTTATCAAAGCAATATTGCTGAAGAGTTGGAAACAGTTCTCATTGTCTCCTCCGTAAAAATTAGGGCTGGCTTTATAAGGGAAGTAAGGGTGGAATGGAAGAGGAGAGGAACCTGTTGAAAGTGGGCCATGAGCTGAGGCCTGTAGAGCCTCCCGGGGCCTATGACCTTGAGATGTTCATCCCTTTAGAAGACAGAACTGGGTTTCCTGGGCCCCCAGATGCATTTGCAGTGAGACTTGTGAAATGCTGGACTTACAGGTGGTGTTTGATTTGATTTCTGCACATTCTCTCTGGAGTAGAAATGGAGACTGGAAAGGTCGAGTCTGGTTTTGCTGGGCAGCTGGGTGGCCAGCAAAGCCAGCTGCACGTCCCCAAGCACAGATAGAGTGGCAAGGGCATGTCCAGCTTACTGACCATCTGCATTGAGCTCATTCTCATTTTCTATATCTGACCTAAAGTTTCTCTCGTTTCTTTTCTTCACCTTTAAGCACAAACATAAACCATCCTTGCTACAGCCTAGAACAGTTAAGTAAACCTTTCTCACTGCCCCTAACTGTGTGTGCCATGAAGTCGCAGTGTTGTAGTGGCTCTGGGCTTCAGCAGTGTTTGCCACAGCCATCCCTGTGATAGTGCCACCCTTCTGTCCCCCCAGACCAGTCATCTCCATTGCTTTTGCTTTGCCCGTGATGCTTGTTGGAGTAGATGAATATAGTGTGTCTTACCGCTGTCCTTTCCGGCTGTAGCTCCCACCAGTTAATCCCGAACTGGGGGTGGGCTGACCTTGATATGAAAGAATGTTGGGGCAGCATCCTGCCAAAAAGCAGCTCACGTTGGCTCTCCTGCCAGTGTGCCCTGAGTGGCCCCAAGGCACCCGGCTGGAGGGAAAATGGCAAACTTTTGGCTGAACTGGAGAATGTCCTAACAAACCCCCTTCCAGAATGGCTTTAGTCTCTAGTGCCTGCTAGCATGGGAGCTTTGTCTTGAATTCCTTTTGATCTGCCCTGTTTCTCTCCAGCCTTAGGAATAAATCTAGAGGCTATTGTGCAATGATCTATGGGCTTTTTATAAGTCTCTAAATTTCCTTGAAATTCCCGTACAGCCCAGCGTAAAGTACTTAAGTTCTTGACCAGCCTGCTGCTTTGTTCTTGTTAATAAAAGCAGTCTGTGCAGCTTGCTAAGGACTTTTTATTAATGCTCCACAGGAGCAGAAACAGCCAGACAGAGACATAGTGAGCCCTGAACGAAACACCTGTATTCCAACATTTTACAGCACCCTGTGCCTAGGAGAGCCAGCTAGCCACGTGCCTACCTGAGTCTGACCTGGGCCAGGGGCCATTATCTTGGGAAAGCCAGAATGCCATTAAGAAAGGGACAAATAGGCAGTTGCTTGTGTAGCAAGGCAGCCACCAGGTTGTTCAAAGGGAGTTCTACATAAACCAACATATTTTGTTGTTGCTTCCAGGGCAGCAGAAGAAGCCTTTGTAAATGACATTGACGAGTCGTCCCCAGGCACTGAGTGGGAACGGGTGGCCCGGCTGTGTGACTTTAACCCCAAGTCCAGCAAGCAGGCCAAAGACGTCTCCCGCATGCGCTCAGTGCTCATCTCCCTCAAGCAGGCCCCGCTGGTGCACTGAAGAGCCACCCTGTGGAAACACTACATCTGCAATATCTTAATCCTTCTCAGTGAAGCTCTTCACAGTCATTGGATTAATTATGTTGAGTTCTTTTGGACCAAACCTTTTTGTCTTTAGAATTGATCATTGTTTGTGATTGCATGTTTCCTTCAACTGTGTTCTCCCTGGCATTCAGAGAGGAGGGGGAGGAGGAAGAGAAAGGAAAGCTTCCCAGTAGTAGCCTCAACCTGTGCTTTTGTGCATTATTCTGAGAATAAATTTCTGTTTCAAACTATATTATGTGAAGCTTCTTTATTCTCAAGATGTGTTTGTTGTAGTTTGGAGTGAGGCCGGAAGGGTTGAGGAATTTCCTTTTTATCATTTCTAGTACTGAGGAAGCACAGCCACTGGGCACTCCACCCTGCTTTGAACTGAGATTGCTCCGGGATCTAGAGTGGGATCCTGTGGACATTTTCATTTGAGAATGGAGTTGCATGGCTAAAGGTTAACCCCCTCTTTATCTGGCTAAGACACAGATGTGAATCCTTTCACCAACCTAGACATTTTCTCCCAGATGGGCTCTTGCTTCCCAGTGTCCCTCAGTTTAGGGTCTTGGATAGTATATTTCATCAGGAGTCAGTCTGGAGCACATAGCCTCTAGTAAGACCTTGACTCCTTTGGATCTGGCCAGTAAGCCTGAGTCAGGACGGCATTCATGTGTGGCAAGTCTCATTACTGTTGAGTCCTGTAGGACATGTTGGGTTCTGTGTCATCCCAAGCATTCGGTTCTTATTTCTCTTGTAAAATCCTTCATCTAGACCTGTGCTGTCCAATGCAGTATTCGCCAGGCACATGTAGCTATTTAAATGAACTAAAAATACATTTCTGGTCCTACTCACAATTCATGTGCTCAGTAGTTGCATTGATAGCACAGATTCTAGAATATGTCCATGGTCACAGAAAGCTGCATTGGACCATGCTGATCTATACCACAGGTGTTTCCAGGAGCCCATGCTTTGTTCAGACACCAGTAAGTTCGTTATCTACTTTCAGAACCTGGCATAGTACCTGGCTTATTTTGGGTGATGTTCCAAGCAATTATTAAAGTCATATTTCAGTAATCTGCTTTTAACTACCTGGTATTTCCAAACTGAAGATTTAGGTAAACTGTAATGCCATGCTCAGGATGGGGGGTTAGGTGTTGTCATTGTCAAGAAGGAAAGGCCACTATCTCCTTAATGTTAAATACTTTTGGTTGGAAGGAGCTTCCATTACTTTTCTTGCTACCTCCCCCCTTTCCAAGCTTCTTAGTTGAGCCTTCCTTGACCTGGCCCACATTTCTGGTCTCTGCTTATTCCTCCTCTTCCAGTCAAATGTGATTACAATCAAGCAGTCACTGTTAGCAGGCTTTTGTTCCTACTGGGAACTGCTAATGCCATTCCAAATGTCAGAATCCAATTTTAAGAACTAGTTCAAAGGCCACTCCCCTTCCCCTGATCTCCCCTAGCCGTCTACCTGGGGCAGCTTACTCTTTGGTAGTCTTGGTGCCATCGTCTGGACTAGGCTTGCCTCCCACACCAGATGGGTTTCTTGAGGTGGGAAGTGGCAATTTTAAATGTCAGCAAAATCTGTGACATTCTTCAGATGGAGAGGTGACTGAATAATGTGACAAAAGTGATGCTGTGATGACTTCCAAGGCTAGGTCATAAAAGGCAGTGCTGCTTATGGCTGGTTTGTTGGAACAACTAGCTGGTGGCCCTGAGCCACCATGTAAAAAAACTACCACTCTGAAGCTACCCATGTGGTGAGGAAGCCCAAACTAGCTCACACAGAGGCCACCTGAGACCCTGTAACCATACACAGTGGGAGATGCCTGGCCAGCCAGCCTCCTGCTATTCCAGCTGACAACTACAAGTGCAGGACACGGAGCTACAACTGTCAAGTCTGAGCCTTTCCCAAATCCTGACCCACAGAAACTGTGACATGAAACAATTACTGTTGTTTTAAGCTCTTCAGTTTTGAGGTTGTTAAACAGCAGTAATAACTCGGGGTTGTTTCTAATGCCTGTATGAGACCACATGGGGCCTTATAAAAGGAGAGAGCGGGTCCAGGGACTCAGTGAGTGCTCAACACTTAGTTTCGAACCTCTTTCTTGGCGCTACTTTGCTCTTTAAGCCAAATTTTCAATGTTATGTATAATGTTTTGTTTTTGTTGTTTTTGAGACAGTCTCACTGTCACCCAGGCTGGAGTGCAATGGGATGATCATGGCTTAACCTCAGCCTCGACTTCCTGGGCTCAGGTGATCCTCCCACCTCAGCCTCCTGAGTAGCTGGGACTAGGGGCACTAGCCACCACACCTGGCTAATTGTTTTGTATTATTTTTTAGAGACAGGGTTTTGACACGTTGCCCAGGCTGATCTCAAACTCCAGGTCTTAAGCGATCCTTCTGCCTCAGCCTCCCAAAGTGCTAAGCTTGAAAAGCATGCCCAGCCATGCTTTCTATTAATAGACTTTTTTTTTTTGGTTAAGAAAGCAAAGATAGCCGGGCGCAGTGGCTCAAGCCTGTAATCCCAGCACTTTGGGAGGCCGAGGCGGGTGGATCACGAGGTCGAGAGATCGAGACCATCCTGGTCAACATGGTGAAACCCCGTCTCTACTAAAAATACAAAAAACTAGCTGGGTGTGGTGGCGCGTGCCTGTAATCCCAGCTACTTAGGAGGCTGAGGCAGGAGAATTGCCTGAACCCAGGAGGCGGAGGTTGCGGTGAGCCGAGATCGTGCCATTGCACTCCAGCCTGGGTAACAAGAGCAAAACTCCGTCTCAAAAAAAAAAAAAAGCAAAGATATTAGATGCCTTAAGGAAGTTATATAACCTTTAAAATGTAAGCAGTGCAACAACTTTAAATCTCTTCTGGGAAGGAAAATGCTTTTGGCTAGTGAGTTACGAACAAAACAGAACACAAGATTTCAACAAGGAAATGTATTTATTTTTTCCTTAGAATTTGGCTCAGAACAGTAACAAAAATATTTACATCAAAATAAATTAACATGCAGTTACTTAACCATATGTAATAATTTATGTTGGAATATATTAGCCTTTCCATGAATTTAATAACTAATACTTGGTTTTAGATTAAATACCATCCTTTCAAATATTTGGTAGGAAACTTGGTAGCAATGCAATTGTCTAATGTACAGAGCAGATTTCACCAAGAGATTATACCAAAGAACAGATGCTCCTTCATGGAACATCATCTCACCCCAGACTCAGAAACTGAACAGCCAAGCTTCCTTCCCAGGAATCACCATGGAATGTTTGAACAATAATCAGGCCCTGGAGATTACTGCAGGGCTGATAGAGTTCTAGGAATCAGCCAAATTCACTTTTTCACACTAACCCACTAGGAAGGATATAGTTCAAATGTGATGTTGATTCCTTCGGTTTATTTGAACACTGAAACAATATGTTATAGAAACCTTCATTTTCCCAAAATAAAAAAAATCTGAAAAATATATGCATATGCTTTATTAGATAATCTAAAATTACCCCTAAAAACCTGTCACTAGGGCCAGGCACAGTGCCTCAAGCCTGTAATCCCAGCATTTTGGGAGACCGAGGCAGGTGATCACCTGAGGTCAGGAGTTCAAGATCAGCCTGGCCAACATGGTGAAACTGTCTCTACTGAAAATGCAAAAAAAAAAAAATCAGCCAGGCATGGTGCGTGTGCCTGTAATCCCAGCTACTTGGGAGGTTGAGGCACGAGAATCACTTGAACTCGGAGGGCAGAGGATGCAGTGAGCCGAGATGCCACTGCACTGCAGCCTAGATGACAGAGCAAGACACCATTTCAAAAACAAACAAAATACCTGTCACTAGACCAAATACTGTACTGGCAAAATTTCATAGCTGAGAGGAGTACTTGATTAAATTCACAGCTGAGATATAGGGTCAAGGATACATTAAGTCATTTACAAATCAGATATTAGTATTAAAGCTTTTGGTGGCCTGGAGTGAATTAAAATATATTAGCATTTCGAAAGTGTTTTTGGAATGGGAGGTTGTGTGGCTTAGCAGAAAAAGCACAGAGGGACCTGGGATCAAACCCTCTTTCTTGCCCCATAGCTTAATAGTTGAAAATGCACTGAGTTCTATAAAATAAAAATTAAAACATCTACCCCAGATGTTGAGAGAATTCAGGATAATGTATATGAAACACCTAGTTCAAAGCCTGACACACAGTAGGCACTTAATAGGTGGTGGCAGTTAGTATTTCTTCCAAGTTACAATTCATAGCCAGAACTTTGGCTTTTGTATTTTGATACCAACGAAAGCACGAATTATGTATCCAGAATCCTGATTCATGGCTCTGGGCTCTTGGTAAAACTCACACAAACACGGCTTTAATAAACACCCTAGGGTCTTTTTCAACACAGTATGATAGGCTATTGAAGGGAGAAGTGTCTGCTGGTCAGTAGTGAAGATCCTTTTGGGATAGTAAATCTCCTTTTAAAGGCTCTAAGTCCTAGCGGCTTCTCAGCTGTCCTAAGATAAGGACAAGGTCACTGAGGCCACAGTAATTTAGATCCCTGGTCTAAAGTCTCATAAGTTCAGCTAGAGTAATAACATCTTTCCACAAATGGTATCCAGGGTTAAGGGGGGATATCTGAGATGGGGGGGTTGATAGATACGTCCGATGATGTCTTGATTGTGGTAATGCTTTCACAGGTATACATTATGTCAAGGGTTATCAAACTGTAGGCTTTGAAAAAAAAAAACACCAATAAAGTTGTTTTTAAAAAAGTGTACTTAAGCCCTTCCTGGTAAGATTTCCTTCTGTTCCCTGACTGAATCACTTTCTGTGATCTCAGTTTGGGGTTCGAGGAGGAAGAATTTTTTTTTTTTTTTTTTTTTTTTTTTGGTGAAGACGGAGTCTCACTCTGTCGCCCAGGCTGGAGTGCAGTGGCATGATCTTAGCCCACTGTAACCTCTGCCTCCTGGGCTCCAGCAGTTCTCCTGCCTCAGCCTCCTGAATAGCCGGGACTACAGGTGCATGCTACCATGCCCAGCTAATTTTTGTATTTTAGTAGGGATGGGGTTTCATCATGTTGGCCAGGCTGGTCTTGAACTCCTGACCTCAGGTGATCCACCTGTCTCGGCCTCCCAAAGTGCTGGAATTACCAGCGTGAGCTACCATGCCTGGCAGGAGGGATTATTAATGCAAACTTCAGGATGAAGTGACATCCCAGGCAAGGATTGCAGGTCTCAGTGGCATTAATACATTAGTAAGCAGAGTTCTAAGGCTTCCTTGTCTATTATTATAGCTAGTTTGGCACAGAAAATTGTGACTGGAACTTACAGGGTTTGAGCTAAAATGACTCCTACTAGGAAAACATCAGAAAGAATAGCATCTACAAAAATAAGAGTTGGGAAAGGTGACTCTGGAAGAGGAGACCAAAAGCAAAAACATTTCTCTGCTAGTCACCTGCAGTTCAATACCAGATTTGCTTGTTAAGAAATGGTATTCTAAAAACAAGAATTTGATTCCACTCCAGAACTCTTGAGTCTCAGGCCATGTCCGTTCCTGGAGGTCTAGTAGATCCTGCGAGTTGTGTAGTCCAGAACCATGCTGGCAGCACCCAGCAGGGCGGGGTCAACCAAATCCGAAACCACTACGTCCACATCCTGCACGGAGGATAAGGCCTGTTGGCGAATGACGTCTTTGACAATGTGGATATAGTGACTGGCCAGGACTCCAGAGAGGATCACAAGGGAGGGATTCATAGTATGGAGGATGTTCACAACCCCAAGACCCAAAGCTGTTCCAGCTACAGGGAGACAAAAATTAAAATGGGTTTCTGAGAGAAGGCAAAATCAAAATACAAAAGAGGAAGGCAGAAAAGAACCAGCAGCCAGAAATGGTAAAGAACATCACAGCATGCAGTGGGAGGCAGTGTTTTAAAAGCAGTTCACGGTTGATTCTTAATACGAGAAAATGATCATGTGACGGCCTAAAGTGGAAAAACCAGGGTGTATCACATGATCCACTAGGCAGAAAAATGAATAGAAAGACTCCAAGGAAATGTTCATAGTTGATATCTTCTGAACAGAAAAACTCTAAGTGATACTTTTTCTTACAACTGTCCTATATTTCTCTAAATTTCCTGTAAAATGAACAAGGAGCATTTTTAGAGTTGTCAAACCAAACCAAACACCTGCTTAAAAAGGCAAGGCTGCCAAATACCTTGAATGCAAGTCCCTTTTTACCTCTGAGTAAGTAGGAAAAATACCTCTGAACAGACACTGCAAAGCACCTGTCCCTAGGGGAAGCAGGGTCTCTTCTGGGCCCAGCTGGGCCATATGATGTCTGACCCCACCCTCTGCAGCCACATGCTCACCTGTTCTTAGGATGCTCTGGGCCTTCGCATTGCCAAGTTTGGCAGCTTGGATGAGATGGAGTGCACCCACTGCCTCATCTTTTGGCACTGACATCCCTTCCACCAACAGCAGGTCCTCTGAGCAGAGAGAGAAGGAAAAGCAGTCACTAACGAGCTGTTTGGAGGCCAAACTAACCACTGGGCCTGTGGGCAGCAAGCTCCTGTGTGGGAAGACAGTGTTTTCTTTTTGAAGTTGCAAAGCTTATTATTCACAAACATCTCTATACACTGCCCCTAAAGCCTTTGCTACCCTCTTGCTAGTTGGTTGGACATAACCCAGAGCCTATCTTCCTGGAAAAACCTCAAGTCTGACAGCCTCCTACCCCTCTGGCTCCCTCACTTCTCACTTCCAGTAGCAGACAGCCTTTGAAGTGTTCTTTTCTCCAAATTATCACCCTCCTCCCACATTCACTCCTTCCTTACTCATCCCAGACGCAATGCTGCACCACCTGCCAGCGCCACACGTTCTATGGCAGTGAGGCATAGCGGCCAAGGAACAGACACAGGCCTGGGGTCAGTGCCAGCTCTACCACTCCCAGCTGCACAATCCTGTGTGTGTGTGTCACCTCACCTCTACGTGTTCCTCCTTCTTAGAAGATGAGGGCAGTAATACCTACGCTGGCAGGGTTATTTTAGGGATTAAATGAGATCATGGACATAAAGTACTTAGTTAAGTGCTGGCCGGACTAAATGCTCAATAAGCAGCAGGTCTTTCTGTGGTTATCCGTAGTTCTTACCAACTCAGATCAATCTGCCTCCTAATCTGCTAGGATACCTGGACCCTCAAAGAAGAAAATCCCCCAGCTCTGCAAACCTAGACATCAACTGGTGGTCTCCTATCTCCCTTGGGCCGTCACAGCTCTCACCCATTTTCCCGGACTGCTCTCTTCTGTACCTTCACCAGCTCCCTGGTCCTTCTACCCCCCAACTGCCAACAGATGTGCATACTTGTTACCTCTCTCAAAGGGGGGCACCACCAGGCAGTGATCCCCTTCCTTTTTGCTCCCCAACCCATCCACCCATCATCTCCACTCGCCGTGCCCTCTGTGGGCCCTCCACCTGGCTTTGCAGCTCATCTCTTCCCACCCCTTCAGAACCCTACTGTAGTGCTCTATACCCTTCTCTCCTACACTCTCGGCCTCCATTCCCCATCTCCTTTGTCAGCGTATGCTCACAGATTGGTTTTGGGGGCCAAAAATGCTATACTCTTTATGTATGAAGCACAGATATACTGCACATATAGCGCACAACCATAAACAGGTAAGCAGTACAGCTGCCGTGCTCAAGTTGCATGGGGAGGATTCATCAGGAAAAAAAAAAAAAAACATCCAAAGGGGCTCCTTAGGAGGGTGATAATGCAAACAAGGTTGAAAAATAAACACTGGTTTAAGGCTTCAAATGATATCCTGGTGGCCAGAGCCAGTGAAATTTTCTAATTTCTTCTTACTCATGTCAGCCCTTGACACTGCTGACCGCTCCTCGTCCAAACACTCTCCCTTTTTGGCTTGTGACAATTCCCTTTCCCGGTGTTCCTCCCATCTCTCTTTCTGCCCCTCACATGCTGATGTTTCTCAGGAGTCTATCCTTGATTCTGTCTTTCACCTCACTCCCTGGCTGTCGTAGGTTTAACCACCACCTCAGTGCCGACGATCCCAGATCACCCATCTAACCCAGTCATCTATCTCTCCTGAGCAACAGACCTCGTACCCGACCACCTCCTAGACATTTCCACCTGGATGTTCTACAGTCACCAACCATCATCTTCTGCCAAACCTGTCCCTCCTCTTCAATTCCTAATCCTGAGTTGTCCAACCAGAAAACTGGAAGTCGCCCTAGAACTGTCCCACTTAAAACCATCTCCATTCAACCATCCTTTTCTCCCCCAGAAATAAAAAGTTAGAGTTTAGTGAAGAATCTAAAATTCAGATCTGACCATGTCTTTTCCCTAAAATGTTTCAGTGGCTTTTCCACCACTGACTGGTCCTGCTTCCTCACACTACATGGTGACACCCTGACTTGCCCTTAAGTACCACCACAACTGTTTCCCTGCCTGCAAGCTCCCTTGGCCATCCAAAGCTGCCTGGCTGGTTCCACTTACCTTCCACCTCTCACCCTGGAGGATGGCACCCTGGCACGGCCTTTCCTGCATGCAAGGACACAAAGTGGATTCTGGTTTCCCTCTTACGTGTATCTGCATTCCTCAGCCATCATGCTCATTGCACTGGGCATTCAATAATGATAGTAAATGCTCTTGAGTTAGACTAGAAACCATCCTAACTTTCATAACATGTCCAGAAACAGCTTTCATTCAAGTAGATCTTTCAGAGTTAAAGTATAACATGTTTTGTCCATTTATTTCTTCATTAAAACATGTATTAAGTACCCACTCTGTGCTAGTGGCTGAGAAAACAAAAATGAAGGGAATCTTCCCTGCTGTCTTGGAACTCTAGACCTCTGTCTACCTCCACCCCTTGGGAGGAAGAGTGCCAATATGCATCAGGACCAAGGAGACTGTGCTGTTTTAGTGCAAGGGAGTCCTACTCTTTCTCTAAGAATTGAAAAGGGGGAAACTTCTGGCTTTAAAAGGGTTCAACTCTCTTTGGAATTTCAACTTTGAAGTACGTGTCTACCATTTGGTTACTTAATTCCTCGAGAGAGGGACACCAACCATCATGGAGCTTTTTTGCCTCCCTCTGCAAGGCCATTCCAGAGGCATATGCTTCAATGCACCCATGGCTTCCACAGGAACAATCAGGCCCGTCCAGAGACACAACAAGGTGGCCCAGTTCTGCAGCACAGAAGGAGCTTCCATGGATCAATTCGTGCTGATGGATAATTCCTCCACCGATTCCTACAGCAAGGGACAGAAAGCACTGAGGATGCTTTACCTAAAACAGAAAACTATGATATCACAATGCCTCATCTGTTTAGCAGAGTTTTGGCACGTGAGGGTCTGTATGTTGCCACCTCCTCTAGAGAGCCTAAGCTCAATAATCACCAAAGCATTCTCTGGCAGCGTTTTGGATGGAAGTGTTTTTAGCAGGTCCTCTGATGTCCTGATGCATCTGCTTGGGTCACTGTGATTTCAAGCACAGCTGGTGGGGACAGTACAGCACAAGTGCATGCCCACCTTGTGGGTAGTAGACCCCCTGCCCCAGCACACACTGCCCATCTTTCTGCACCAAGGCTTTCTCCAATACTGATGCAGAAGCCTACTCAGCCAGGCAGGCACAGCACCCAGGGGCAACCTGCAACCTAGTCGAGGCGGGAGCCAGCAGATCCACGGGACAATTCTGGATGCTGTTCTGCAGGCTTCTTAGGAGGTGCCAGTAAAGTTCAGCTCCCTTTGCCCTTAAGGCAACTTAAATAACATTAACATATCCTCTCTTCCTGCTCTGTTTCATTCTTCCCACTCTCCCTCCTGCTTTTTAGGGTCACCTCCAAAAAATCATACCTGCATCTAAATCCTTGTCTCAGGCTCTGCTCTGTGGAAAACCCAAGACAAGTCTTTTTGTATCACATATTGCCTGCTTCCTGAAGCAGAAAATATGAAATACAGTTTTGCCTCTTTTAATGCTGCCATGTCTAAAAATCTGTGATTCAATAATTACAAACATCAATGACTATCTTTTCTTATGGAGTTCAGCAGTTACTAAGGAATAAAGGGTATTGTGCCTGAGAAGGCTCTGCTTTTAAGGGTTGTCTTGCCGTCTGTAACTTCTTGGGACACTTAATTCTTCAACTCCCAGCCCTCTGACTTAGAGCTTAGTCACTGCTCTGAGCTAGGATATGGTATCCAAGTTTGCTAAAACTGTGTATGGTACTAAGGGAGTCTGAGCATGAGCTAAAGTACATGAGCTTAGGCTGGGCATGGTGGCTCACACCTGTAATCCCAGCACTTTGGGAGGCTGAGGTGGGTGGATCACCTGAGGTCCGGAGTTCAAGACCAGCCTGACCAACATGGCAAAACCCAGTCTCTACTAAAAATACAGAAATTAGCCAGGTGTAGTGGCATATGCCTGTAATCCCAGCTACTCAGGAGGCTGAGGCAGAGGAATCACTTGAATCTGGGAGGCAGTGAGCTGAGATTTTGCCACTGCACTCCAGCCTGGATGACAGAGCGAGACTCACTCTCTAAATAAATAAATAGTACATGAGCTTAAAGGGGAGGTGGTGTAATATAGAGTTTAAGCACATAAAAGTTTTGAAGTTAGGCATATCTGTACCAAACGCTGGCTCAACCGCTTATTAGCTGAGTCTGCTTCCTCATTTAAAAATTAAGTTATACATTTAAAATATATATAATAAAAATAAAATGTAAAAAAAGCAAAAGTAATAAATTAAGTTGTCATAAAAAATGACAGAGCAGGGAACTCTAAAAGTCCATTCTGCCACTAAAGCAAGGAAAAACTGTTAAAAGTATTAGAATCGGCCGGGCACAGTGGCTCATGCCTGTAATCCCAGCACTTTGGGAGGCCAAGGCAGGTGGATCATGAGGTCAGGAGATCGAGACCATCATGGCCAACATGGTGAAACCCTGTCTCTACAAAAAAAAAAAAAAAAAAAAAGTATTAGAATCAATCTTTTTGGAACTCTGGAAAAATAACTTAAGCTTGCAATAAACAGGAATGCCTAATTTAAAAAACAAAAACAAAAAGCAGGGTCCGGTGCAGTGGCTCATGTCTGAAATCTCAGTGCTTTGGGAGGCCGAGGCAGGAGGATCACTTGCACCCAGGAGTTTAAGACCAGCCTGGGCAACACGGTGAGACCCTGTCTAAAAACAAAACAAAACTGGCTGAATCTTGATAAGAGAACTTTCTGGTGTTTTAACCTACCCTTGTCCTATCACCCACTCTCCAGCTTGGTGGTGACACTGAACAGTAGCCCACACTCCCAGTACTGGTGTACAGATACAGTACTGGATGCCAGCACCTGACAGGGCAGGACGAATTTATTCTCAAAAAATTGTGGTTGTTTGTTTTGACCTGTCAGCTCCCTGGAGGACTAGCTCAAAGGGCCTGCTTTCATCTCAACTAACTAGGAACTATCCCAGTGCTGAAGGGGTTACATGAAGGGTGTTTATCAAAAACACTTCAAAGTAAAATGTATTAGTCTCTGCTGCCTAGGGCAAAGGATAACAGCTGGGGCATCCAACACACTAACCAAAAAGACTGGGAGGAAAGTTTGGAAATGAGAAGCTCTGGGAAATAAGAGCTTTGAATAGCTCTGACAAGTACCTGGAATTTAGAAAGCCACATGCATGTCTAGGGCTGGGCACATGCTCAGGAAAGATACGAGAAGGCCACGTGGCTCACCTTCAGGCTCTATTCAAGCAGGAAGTGAAGGCTAAGGCAGAGTTGTAACCACCCGACTGTGTTGAAGACATGCCCGAATATACATTCTAGCTCCTGAAGCAACCTTCCCTTACCTCTCTTACCTGTGCCTGTGATAAGTGTAACAAAGTTTTCCAGTCCCTTTCCTTGGCCAAATTTCCTTTCTGCCAGGGCAGCACAGTTGCCATCATTGTCTACCCACACAGGGAGATGCAAAGTGTCAGACAGGGGGGTCCTGAGGTCCACGGAGTTCCACTCTTGGATCAGTTTGGTTGAATGCAGCACAATTCCTTCCCGAGGATTTACACGGCCACCTGTGGAAATGCCTGTGCTCCACCACAAACACAAGGAAAATAATGCTGATGAGCAATCTCAGGAAAGTGTGCCGACTTTCTTGGCTTAGAACACAGATTCATTCACCTCAGATCTCCTAAGACAAACATTACCAAAGACTGTAAGGAAATATTAGACGGTTCTGAATTAAAGTCATAGCGCCTCGAAGATTTCTAGACCTGTCACTGCTTCTTTCCTAATGTCTGTTGGTGTCCCAGGAAGTCTCCATGCTTGGGGCCCACAGACAGCACCTAGAGTCATCTGTGCACAGGGCAGATGCTGATTTGATGCTTAGGCATGCATCACTAGTTAGTCAATTTTGTACATTAAAATGACCATTTTTGTACATTAAAATGGATTTATAATTTACAATTTACAATCTTAATAATTTACAATCTTACCTACTCCCAAAATTCTGCAGTTCAGTTTTACAGCTTCTGCTGCAGCTTCCACACACATCTGTAGGATTAAATTAATCCTCTCTTCATAGGTTTTAGGATTGAACTGAGTATACTTTTTAACTATTTCACCCTAAAAGAGAAAACAGCAAGCTCTGTCTCACTGGTCTTAGCTAAAAAGCACATTGTGAATGTTGTGATCTTTTTCATGATAAATCAGATACTGCTATAGGATGGCCCTACAGTCTTAGATGACTGCTTGGGGAGGCAGCCACTGCCTGGCCTGGGCCAGGCCTGGGATAAGCCAAGGTAGTTCCTGTAATTTGTCCTAATATGGGGCTGTCGAAGCAATGACGACTCCACAGCCAGCAAGATGGGCCCCTCTCTCTGTTTTTTTTGGAGATGGAGTCTCGCTCTGTTGTCCAGGCTGGAGTGCAATGGCACGATCTTGGCTCACTGCAACCTCTACCTCCCGGGTTCAAGCGATTCTCCTGCCTCAGCCTACTGAGTAGCTGGGATTACAGGTACCTGTCACCACGCTTGGCTAATTTTTGTATTTTTAGTAGAGACAAGGTTTCACCATGCTGGCCAGGCTGATCTTGAACTCCTGACTACAGGTGACTCAGCAACTAAGTAGCTGAGCTTTAATCATCTCCTGTAACTGAATTCAGTGATGGTCTGGATACTCTATTTCTTTAGGGTAAATTTCCATGCTGGCTGGCGGAAAGACCACATTGTTTAAATTACTGTGCTTTGTATGGCCTGGCTCACACCTGTAATCCCAGCACTTTGAGAGACCGAGGCAGGTTGATCACTTTAACCTCAGGAGTTCAAGACCAACCTGGGCAATAGGAGGAAACCCCATCTCTGTAAAAAATACAAAAATTAGCTGGGCATGGTGGCACACACGCCATTAGTCCCAGCTACTTGGGAGGGTGAGGCTTCATGAAGTTCACTTCAGCCAGGGAAGCGGAGGTTGCAGTGAGCTGAGATTGTGCCACTGCACTCCAGTCTGGGCGACAGAGTGAAACCCTGTCTCAAAAAAATGAAATAAATTATTGTGCTTTTTTATATGTTTTAATACCAAACAGGGATAGTCCCTCCTAATTACTTGTTTTTGTTTTTATATTTTTTCTTTGCACACTTACTTTTTTTTTTTTTGAGACGGAGTTTCTCTCGTTACCCAGGCTGGAGTGCAATGGCACAATCTCGGCTCACTGCAACCTCCGCCTCCTGGGTTCAGGCAATTCTCCTGCCTCAGCCTCCTGAGTAGCTGGGATTACAGGCACGCGCCACCATGCCCAGCTAATTTTTTGTATTTTTAGTAGAGACGGGGTTTCACCATGTTGACCAGGATGGTCTCGATCTCTCGACCTCGTGATCCACCCACCTCGGCCTCCCAAAGTGCTGGGATTACAGGCGTGATCCACTGCGCCCGGCACTTTTGTACTTTCAATGTTAAACTTTTTTTTTTTTTTTTTTTTAAGAGATGGGGTCTCACTATGTTGCCCAGGCTGGGTTTCAGTTGCTATTCACAGGTGCGATCCCACTACTGATCAGCACGGGAGTTTTGACCTGCTCTGTTTCTGACCTGGGCTGGTTTACCCCTCCTTAGGCAACTTGGTGGTCCACTGCTCTCAGGAGGTCACCATATTGATGCTGAACTTAGTGCAGACACCTGATCAGCATAGCGCACTACAGCCCAGAACTCCTGGGCTCAAGCAATCCTCCCACCTCAGCCTCCCGAGTAGCTGGGACTACAGGCACACGCCACTGCGCCCAGCTTAATGTTAAACTTAAAAAAATTCCACTGTGGTTTACGATAATTTTATTAAATGCAAAAAAAATACCATTGAAGTGTTTACTAGAATTATGTTGAACTTATAAATCCAATTTGGAAAACAGTGACATCTTAAAAAAATAATCAGCACTTCCATACAGGGCATTTTTTCAAGGCTTTATGTCTTACAGTAAAGTTTTAGAATTTTCTTTATATAAATCACATGGTTTTTTGGTTTCAGTTATTCTTAGAGGAGTTTTTGTTGTTGTTCTGAATAAGATCTCTTTTTCCATTTATATTATTTTGTTATTAGTGGATTTTAATATATCAGAAAAAGGGTTAGAGCTGTCACTAGGATTGTCATTAAAAATAAATCTAGGCCAGGCATGGTGGTTCACACCTGCAATCTCAGTGCTTTGGGAGGTGAAGGCTGGCGGATCCCTTGAGCCTGGGAGTTCAAGACCAGCCTGGGCAACATGAGGAACCACTGTCTCTACAAAAAATAAAAAAATTAGCCAGGCATGGTGGCATAAGGCACAAGTTCCATCTCCTCAGGAGGCTGAAGCACGAGAATCTAATAAATCTAATAAAAAACTAGCTGGGCATGGTGGTAAATGCCTGTAATCACAGCTACATAGGAGGCTAAGGCAGGAGAATCACTTGAACCTAGGAGGCAGAGGCTGCAGTGAGCTGAGATCGTGCCACTGTACTCCGGCCTGAGTGACAGAGCAAGACTCTGTCTCAAAAAAATAAAAAAATTAAAATACATCTAGAACTGGGCACAGTGGTCTATAGTCCTAGTTATTATACTTTAGAGGCTGAGGCAGAGGATCATGTAATCCCAGGACCTTGAGGCCAGCCTGGGAAACGTAGGAAGAACTTATCTCTTAAAAAAAAAATTTTTTTTTAATTAAAAGAATAAAAAACCTAGAGTAGTGCTGTCTTCACTGTGCATCAGAATCACCTGGACAGCTTTTAACAGAGAGCAATGCCTGCCCCCCTTTCCCAGAGACTCTAATTTAACCAGTCTGGGGTGGAAGCCAGGCATTTTTTAATCTATTAATAATGTTTTTTGTTTTAACCTGTCAATAATCTCAATTTTTCCTTCCTTTATTCCCTTCATAACTTCCAAATTTATGTTAGATAATGCTGCAGAAAACGTCTTTCTTGATTTCAACAAGAATGCCTCTAGAATTTACCACTGAAAAAGACGTTGGCCTATCATATGGAATACATCATCTTTCTGTTAAGAAAATATTATTCTAAGGCCGGGCGCGGTGGCTCAAGCCTGTAATCCCAGCACTTTGGGAGGCCAAGGCGGGTGGATCACGAGGTCAAGAGATCGAGACCATTCTGGTCAACATGGTGAAACCCCGTCTCTACTAAAAATACAAAAAATTAGCTGGGCATGGTGGCGCGTGCCTGTAATCCCAGCTACTCAGGAGGCTGAGGCAGGAGAATTGCCTGAACCCAGGAGGCGGAGGTTGTGGTGAGCGGAGATTGCACCACTGCACTCCAGCCTGGGTAACAAGAGTGAAACTCCATCTCAAAAAAAAAAAAAAAAAAAGAAGAAAATATTATTCTATTAGTTTTTGTTTTATTTTTTGAGACTGAGTCTCACTCTGTTGCCCAGGATGGAGTGCAGTGGCGTGATCTTGGCTCACTGCAATCTCTACCTCCTGGGTTCAAGTGATTCTCCTACCTCAACCTCCTGAGTAGCTGGGATTATAGGTGTCCACCACCATGCCCGGGTAATTTTTTTTTCTTTTTTTGTCTTTTTAGTAGAGACAGGGTTTCACCATGTTGGGCAGGTTGGTCTCAAACTCCTGACCTCAAGTGACCCGCTTGCCTGGACCTCCCAAAGTTTCGGGATTATAGGCGTGAGCCACCACACTTAACCTTCTATTAGTTTTTAAGAGTATTTATAAGGGAAACCTCTTGGCTTTTCTTGAGAAAATTATGTTTTGTTTTGCTTTCCTTATTTGACCTAATGGTATTAATACATTACCTACAAATTTACATTTAAAATCTTTGCTATTTCTTATTGTGTCTGGAAACTTGAGGCACTTAACAATATTTCAAACAAAGATTTTTCTAGTAGGCTGATTCTTCCTAAATCATTAGACATCACTTTAACATAAACAGTTTGTTATTTTTATTTTTTGAGACAGAGTCTTGCTCTATCGCCAGGCTGGAGTGCAGTGGCGTGATTTCGGCTTACTGCAACCTATGCCTCCCAGGTTCAAGTGTTTCCCCTGCCTCAGCCTCCCGAGTTACTGGGACTACAGGCATGGGCCACCACACCTGGCTAATTTTTTGTATTTTTTTTTTTTTTTAGTAGAGACGGGGTTTCACCATGTTGACCAGGATGGCCTTGATCTCCTGACCTCAGGATCCACCTGCCTCGGTCTCCCTAAGCGTTGGGATTACAGGCTTGAGTCACCGCGCTTGACTAGTTTGTTATTTTTATGAGGTTCTCGCAACCTGTTGACACTGGGTGATGGTTTGGTTGACAGACTGAAGGTCTGTATTCAATAAAGAGCAGAACTGTAAAAAGGCAAAATGGAAAATCCACACAACTGATCAGATTCTAGTGAGGAGGCAGCTCCTTTCACCATTTGCTGATAGATACCCTCACCTGGGCAGTAATAGTAAACAGCGTACTCCAGACTTCAAGTTGTTACCAAGCATAGAATTTCAGGTCTCCTGGGTGGCAAAAGCCTGATCTGATGCCTAAAAGGGTCTTCCCACTGTCAAGTCTACCATCCTGGACTCCCAGAGAATTTACTTCTTTGAAATGTTCATGATTAGTAAAATAGTGAGACAAACATTATAATGAATCCATATGTCAATACTATGAGCAAATGATTACAAGCTCTTACGTATGTTTCTAGTCTTACCTTCCAACTATACATACTTAAAAAAAAACAATCACTCGGCCGGGCGCGGTGGCTCAAGCCTGTAATCCCAGCACTTTGGGAGGCCGAGGCGGGTGGATCACGAGGTCAAGAGATCGAGACCATCCTGGTCAACATGGTGAAACCCCATCTCTCCTAAAAATACAAAACATTAGCTGGGCATGGTGGCGCGTGCCTGTAATCCCAGCTACTCAGGAGGCTGAGGCAGGAGAATTGCCTGAACCCAGGAGGCGGAGGTTGCGGTGAGCCGAGATCGCGCCATTGCACTCCAGCCTGGGTAACAAGAGCAAAACTCCGTCTCAAAAAAAAAAAAAAAACAATCACTCATATGGGATATAAAGTTAGGAGTTTAGGAGTTATTTTACCTTCATGCTGACTATTGCAACTCGGAGGTTCGTCCCACCAAGATCAACGGCCAAGGCACTTAGAGTTTCAAGAATATGGTCAATATCTTGAGAGATATTCTCCTTCACAGGAGGGAAGCAGAATTTCTTTTGTAGTGGCTCTTGAAGATCAATAGATTTGAGAAACTTCAAAATCCTTGGAACAGCATTTCCATCCCCATATATCTTTGAACTGCAATATATATACAAAAAGTCAATTAAATTAAATGCTTCTGCCATATATGTTAAATGGTAGTGAGGGCATAATATAATGGAATCTGAGACTTCAGGTAAAAATAATTTGTGCTTCTTCCTAAAATGACATCTCCCTGCCGTGTGCAGTGGTTCATGTCTATAATCCCAGCACTTTGGGAGGCCAAGGGAGGCAAATCACCTGAGGTCAGGAGTTCGAGACCAGCCTGGCCAACATGGCAAAACCCCATCTCTACCAAAAATACAAAATTAGTGTGGTATTGCACACCTGTAATTCCAGCTGTTTGATAGGCTGAGGCAGAATTGCTTGAACCCAGGAGGCGGAGGTTGCAGTGAGCTGAGATTGTGTCACTGCACTCCAGCCTGGGCAACAAAGCAAAGCAAGACTCCATCTTAAAAAAACCAAAACAAAACAAAACAAAAACCAACAAAATACACATTCTACACTGGAACCTTTGGTACGATAATAATGAGTATGATATTAGCAATCCTTGTCTCTCCAGCAACTAAGAGCCCATAGGCATAAGAAGGCAAGCTCTGTTAGGATGACTAAACAGTGACTGTAGCTCTAAAATGGTACCGAAGGTAGCTTCCCTGTTAAATCACTCAAAAAAAAAAAATGATTTCTACTCACCAAGGGTACTGTTTACCAAACTGAAGGTGCAGTGCTTGCAATATTTTGTCTTGGGTGTCAGCATCCCGGACATGAAGAACATTCTCCCCTAGGTAAAACCAGTGACACGTTACAAGGATTTGGAAGTGGGAATATCCTCGGCCGGGCTCGGTGGCTCAAGCCTGTAATCCCAGCACTTTGGGAGGCCGAGGCGGGTGGATCACGAGGTCAAGAGATCGAGACCATCCTGGTCAATATGGTGAAACCCTGTCTCTACTAAAAATACAAAAAATTAGCTGGGCATGGTGGTGCATGCCTGTAATCCCAGCTACTCAGGAGGCTGAGGCAGGAGAATTGCCTGAGCCCAGGAGGCGGAGGTTGCGGTGAGCCGAGATCCCGCCATTGCACTCCAGCCTGGGTAGCAAGAGCGAAACTCCGTCTCAAAAAAAAAAAAAAGAAAAAAAAAAAAAAGGAAGTGGGAATATCCAAAGAATAAGGAAATTATCAGTGTACTATGCTCATAATCAGTGTACTATGCTCAAACCCACCTGACTTTAGATAAATTTTTTGTTAGGGAAACATCAACTTTTCTACTGTATACCTTTTAAAGAACTCTTAGCAAGATTTCAGTATATCAAACACTTAAGGGCACTAGTGTCCTTTATTCCCAAAGAGAACAAATCAAGGTTTTGTTTATTGAAATAAATAAGGTGGATTAGCCTGGCATCCACTTACCATTTGCCTAGTCATCTCTCAGATCCACTCTCTTTCAACCTGCCCTGCCTTCCATCTACTCAGCCAGCGGTTCACTTGGCTTGTCAGGCAGTCACTTTCCCTCCAGATGTCTCCTGACCAATATGAAGGAGTGAATATAGTAAAAATGGCCACGTTCAATGAGCTTGGCTAAGAAGAGAAGAGTGGACAAGTAGCAGCTGGGTCAAGAAAGGGGTTGCTTTGTGTTGTTTTGTTTTTAAGATGTGAGAGGCTTAGGCATGTTTAAATGATGAGGAAGTTAAATAGAGAAGGATAAGAAAAGATGACTCATAGATAGGTAAGCAGGAATGGTAGGCATTGAGAACACAAGTAGAAGGATGAGCAATGGACAGGCAGGAAAGACAGTCACACCCACACTCTGCTATAAACAAGGTAAGATGGAAAGGATGGATGGGCATGTATGTTTATGTAAGTTTACTTAAGTGTGGTGGCAAGAAGTACAGAGACCATGTTGGCACATGGTTCAGTTCTCTCTTCACATCTTTTTTTCTTTTTAAAATTTATTTTTTATTTTTATTTTTTTGAGATGGAGTCTTGCTCTGTCGCCCAGGCTGGAGTGCAGGGGCATGATCTCAGCTCACTGCAATATCTGCGTCCTGGGTTCAAACAATTCTCCTGCCTCAGCCTCCCAAATAGGTGGAATTACAGGCATGTACCACCACACCCAACTAATTTTCTTATTTTATTTGAGATGAGGTTTCACCATGTTGGCCAGGCTGGCTTGAACTCCTGACTTCAAGTGATCCACCGCCTTGGCCTCCCAAAGTGTTGGGATTACAGGCGTGAGTCACCACGCCCAGCCCTCCTTTCACATCTTAAATGAACTCAGCAGTATCCACCACCCCTTCCTTAAAACACTGTATTTGGGGGGCTTTAATTATAGCACACTCCCCTTGTTTCCCTCCAACCTCACGGTGTTCCTCTGCAGTCTTCCTTGCTGGACCTTCCCTCTTCACCAGAACTCTAAAGATTGAAGGGCTCCAGAAGCTGGTCCTGGGCTCCATTCTCTGCCCTATTTACAAGTTTTAGAGACAGGATCTTGCCCTGTCACCCAGGCTGGAGTGCAGTGGCATGATCACAGCTCATTGTAGCCTCAAACTCCTGGGCTTAAGTGATCCTCCTGCCTCAGCCTCCTGAGTAGCTTGGACCACAAGCACATGCCACCAGGTCTGCCTAATTTTTAAATTTTTTTGTAGAGATAGAATCTCACTATCTCGACTCAAGCTAGGGTTGAACTCCCGGCCTCAAGCAATCCTCCTATCTTGGCCTACCAAAGCACTGTGATTATAGGTGTTGAGCCACCGCACCTGGCCTTAGTCCCTGGGTTTTAAATACTATCGATGGCAGAGTGCCATTATCCTCGATATCTTTTCTTCATACTAGAAACAATTTTTAGCCAGGTATCTGATCCCCAGCCAAAGATTATATTCTGTCTAGTCCAAGTATAGTGGTGTTTACAACTAATTGATCACAACCAGTTCCTTCTTCCCTGGCACTGCTTCACTTGACTAGCCTTAAAAAGAAAAAGAAAAAGAAAAAAAAACAGACTTGGGACAGTGGCTCACGTCCATAACCCTATAGTCTGAGGCCAAGGTAGGAAGAATCAGATGAGTCCAGGAGTTTGAGATGAACCTGGGCAACAAAGCAAGACCCTGTCTCTATAAAAAAAAAATATTGTAAAAACATTAGCCAGATATGGCTGGGGAGGCTAAAGTGAGAGGATCACTTGAGCCCAGGAATTCAAGGTTACGATGAGCTATGACTGCACCATTGCACTCTAGCCTGAGCAACAGAACAATACTATCTCAGACGAAAAAAAAAAAAAAAAAAAAATATATATATATATATATATATATATATATATATATATTCTTCAGCTTGCCTTGCAGCCAGCTGTGGCCATGTGACTAAGTTCTGATGGAAGTGAGAAGAAATATTTGCAACTTTCAGGTCTTGTCTTTAAAGGAAAAGGCATCTTCTCTTTTCCTTCTTCCAAAAGCTAAAACAGAGACTTGCAAGCAATAGCTAGAGAAACCACTGAAAAAAACAGATGGGGGCTAAGTCTGATGATTGTGGAGCTGCCATACCACTGAGAAACAAAGAACATCTAACTTATTTAACCTACTATTATTTAGGGTCTCTCTGTTACAGCAGCCAAACTGACAATACATCATTTCTATACCAATGACTCTCAAATTTCTATCTCCAACTCTAACTCTCCCTGGAACTATCTAGCTGTTTACTAGTCGTGTCTGCTTTGATATCTAACAGGCATCTCAGACTTCACATAGCCATAAGGAACTCTTAATTCAATCCCTCCCCAGATCTGTTCCCCCCTCAGTGTCCCCATATCACCACCCAATCAGAAATCTAGGCTTCCTTGGTGATTCCTTTCTTCCTCTCACCTCCATATCCAAGCATCAGCAAGTACTATGACAAAACCCAAATCTAACTTTTCTCCATCTCTAATATTTCATCAAAGCCACTATCATCTCTCATCCGAGCAACTGAATCAGCCCCATTAGTGGTCTCCCTGCTTTTATTCTTGCCCCCCCCCCCCGCTGACATTCCATTCTCGATGTTAGCAACCAGAGTGATCTTTCCAAAATGCAAGTCATGTCGTGTCATTCCCTCCCATCACACTTGGATAAAATTCCAAATGATTTACCTTGACTTACATGCATCTGCTTCCTTATCTAACGTCATCCGTATCACTCTGCCTCTTGCTCACTACTCTACAGCCACATTGGCCCTTCCATTTCTCAAATACATCAAGTTTGTTCTCACCTCGCAGCCCTCACACTGGCTGTTCCCACTGCCTCTCCCTGATCCTCACATAGTGACTCCTAATCTAATGGAGCCCATCATATACCTGGTGTTACTACAGGCACAGCATATAGAAATCCTGATATTTTTCTTATTTCTTTTGTGTATGTCTATCATCTATCTCCCCTCCCACTAGAATGGAAGTTACATGAGAGCCCAGCCCTTCTTGGTCTGGTTTATTGCCAAATCCCAATGCCTAGTACATTGTGGGTGCTTATTAAACATTTTCTAAATGAATGAATTGAGGAATTTGAAAGAATTTCCATCTCATGGCTTCCATTTTCTCTATGAAGCAGGGAGTAAAGTAATATGCTGTGAATGAGAAGGAAAGAAGATCTAAATATAGCAGAAGGGTGGCAATTATAAAGAACGAGAGAAAGAGCAGAGGTAGAGCTATCTCCTTGGTTCTAGTCCAGTTCTTTCTCCTTTAATGATACACACTTTTCCATTACAGGTTCTGTTAAATTCCACTGCATGTAAACAGGATTAGAACTTGAACTAATGTTAATAACAGGATCTAGCTCAGTTAGCAAATTCATTAATAATCCTACTTATACTTAAGGGGCACTTTACTTAGAACTACCATACTCTAAAGCACTGACTGAAGGGATTCTATATTAAGCCCAGAAAATAAAAGACTAGTGTTCATATATTCATGCAACAGTCAACCATATACTCTCTTAAACACAGCCATGAAAGATCATAATTAAGAACCACTTAGTGGTAATTGATATTACAAAGACAATAAAATATAAGTAGAGATCTAATATATTTGGTCATCACTGTGTGCTATTTATCAACTATAGATTTTAGGCTTCAATTGGTTATTAACCTCACTCACTTGTTCACAAAATAAATGCTCAGCACTGATATATGCATACCTTATAATAACTCATGTATGTATAAGCTAGTCAGTTGAAGTATAAGCAAAGGTAAATACCTGTTTCTCTTCCAATCTGACGTGTTCCCAGGTTGATCACAGGTGTTCCAAAAGCTCCCACCTCTCGTACCCCACAGCTGCTATTCCCAATCATACAACCAGCATGAGCAACCAACTGTATAAACTGGTCAAATGGGACGTGTTTAACTGCACGAAAATTGGGATGATGCTCAATGCCCTTCTTCCGCATTACTCGAACCATCTCTTTGCTCCCTATGAATATGAAAAGAAGCAATTGGTAAATGGTTTGTGAGATAAAGAAACCATTTTCATTGGCAAGTATAGCCCACGTAAAGAAAACTCCCTAAAAAACATGACATCAGTTATTAGGGAAATAGTAATTTTAACTACTGACTTTTTCAAAGACCTAGTAAAAACCTTTACCTTAAACAGTTAAGAGGCAAAAAACAGACCAACAGCCTGTATCTTAACCTGAGAGTTCACAAATGGAACACTCTCAGGCTCCACACACCCAGGCTGATCAGAGAGCCTCTGCCCAGCTACGCTCACCTTTACACTAACAAGAACTCAGTGGGATAGCACTCCCATTTATGTGGACTAAACTCCAAGAAAATACAGGTACATTCTGACACTGTGGCTTATATTTTAACTGCATGACTTAATAAAAATTTAAAGATACATGAAGGGGAGGCAATATTTAATGTCCCTCTGCTTGCCTCTCAACTGACCCTGTCCTAACTACCCCATACCAAGGGAGGAAAACTGCTAACCTAATTGGGTAGAAGGCAGAAGTATGACCACATCATGCTCATCAGTGGGCAGGTGCCACTCATTTAACCAAAGCTGTGCATGCATGCTTCTCAATCTTTTTAACTTTCACTGCGTGGTGAGGTAGGTAAATGGATTTGGGGTCTCTCTGGAGAAGGCTTGGCCACTTCTCCCTATATACAGTCTTGCCAGAGCATCATCTGTAATTATTGTACAGGTTGAGCATCGCTTATTCGACATGGTTGGGACCAGAAATATTTTGAGTTTCAAGTTTTTTTTTAAATTTTGAAATATTTCTTATTCTGTTATACTTACCAGATGAGCATTCCTAATCTGAAAATCCAAAATCCAAATGTTCCAATAAGCATTTCCTTTGAGTGTCATATTGGCACTCAAAAAGTTTGAGATTTTGGAGCATTTCAGATTTCAGATTTTTAGATTAGGGATACTCAAACTGTAGTACATGGCACACCAATGCCGCTACTATTCCAAGATTCAGGTTTAGATTCAGTTGAAAGCTCTTCTTTGGCTTTAGGCCTCAATAATCCATTTTCCAGAGAGAGTCCTATACTGGGGCACTGGGCACTGAGTCAGATAATGATAAAGTGATGCCTTGATTCTTATTTTCCTATTGTTCCCTGGGTCTATCTTATCGAAAGCCCTGTGGAGGGTAGAGGCAAGTGGCAGCCATGACTTAGATATGCCTGGGACCCTTTACTTTCATAGGGAAAAAATACCTCCAATTCTAAAGTACAAATAGTCAGGAAAGTGTATTTCTTTTTTTTTTTTTTAAGGGAAAGTGTATTTCAAACAGAATATATCATTGACAATGAATATTGAACAAGAGAGATACCTAGTTATATTACAAACATTTATACAAAATTTAAAGTATCAGAGAAGAATAAATATTAAAGTTTCTGAAATACTGATGCATTACCTGGAAAAAATCTGGGGTGGGTATTAAATGTTTTTGAACTAATATCCTACTTTGTTCTCCCTCACAGAAAAGATTATTCAAAAGAACACTTGACGGGTTCTTTCAGGGTAAGGTGGTGATATCTTGACATTGCAGAGAAAGGGTTCTGCCTCCTTTACCAAAAAAAAAAGCCTAAGATTTCAGCAACGAGTGGTAACAGCTAACAATAACCAGTACTTGGAAATTCTTCAGTGTTAGGCTCTGTTCTGGCATTTCTCATTAACATCTCATACCCTCATTAACTCGCCTAAGGTCTTAGCAGTATCAAAATCGATAGTACCATCCACCAGTAAGCAAGTGATCAGCCAGGGCAGGCTTGAGGATCACTGGTCGGGACTGGCTGGGGACTCCAGATTTAAACTGCTTCAGCTCAAGATTACTTTAAGGTATAGTTAATATAAGTAAGAAAGCAAGCAAGAAATAATATTAGTGGCTGATTTACTTTTCTAGAGCTACTCTTTCACTTCAACTTCTACTTTTTTTTTTTTAGTGGAGTCTCACTCTGTGTCACCGAGACTAGAGTGCAGTGGCGAGATCTTGGCTCACTGCAGCCTCCACCTTCTGGGTTCAAGTGATTCTCCTGCCTCAGCCTCCTGAGTAGTTGGGACTACAGGTGCCCAACACCATGCCTGGCTACTTATTGTATTCTTAGTAGAGACAGGGTTTCCCCATCTTGGCCAGGTGGGTCTCGAACTCCTGACCTCAAGTGATCTGCCCCCCCCCCACCTCAGCTTCCCAAAGTGCTGGGATTACAGGCTATAGCCACCACACCTTGCCATCTTTCACTTCAACTTCTAAGGTTTATGTCTTTTGATTACTGTAGTTTCTAACTGGTGGAAACTGGAGGTAAAATATTAGTACTAAACATGAGGAAGTGGAGAGTAGATGGGCTATTTTTATTGTTAAGTTTCTACTGGACTTGGCAAAAACATTACAAACTTTTTCAGCTATAGCAAAATTGGTAATCCTTTGAAAATTGGAATGCATTTTAGGATAGAGGGCCCTTCAGTGATAAGATGAACAAGACAGGAAGGCAGTTAAAAGAAAAATAGAAACATAAAATTTGAAAAAGTAGGTGGCATAATTTCATTTTCAAGTTCAATTACCTGCATCAATATTTGGAAACAGAACTAGGGTCCGCTTGTTAAATGAGATAAGTGCATCCAATGTTAATTCAAACATTTTTATGGAATGCTTAATGTCAGTGGTCACAGGGTGCTGTAGTGCAACAATGTAATCTTTAGATTTTACGTCATCACCTGTTTAAAGAAAATCAAACCACATTGCTTCATTAGTTAAGAATCTTAAAAGAGAAAGAAGCAAATTCTGGAAGCAAGACCCTAAGTTTGTGCTTTTAAAAATTCTAAGATAGAAACAGTTTGTCAAATTCTGAGCAGGGCATCCAAATTAGAGTCAAACGATAAGAACTTAACAGCAACAAATCCATGGATTCAGCAAACCTAACATTTTACAAAGATATGCTGCCACAAACATAAAATATAATTTTAAATAGTAGGCACTTAGAAATTCACTGTTTTAAAATACAAACTATTCCAAAGCACTCGAAAAATGTGACTCTTCCGAATTTCTTTTTTTTTTTTTTTTTTTTTTTTTTTTGAGACGGAGTTTCGCTCTTGTTACCCAGGCTGGTGTGCAATGGCGCGATCTCGGCTCACCGCAACCTCCGCCTCCTGGGTTCAGGCAATTCTCCTGCCTCAGCCTCCTGAGTAGCTGGGATTACAGGCACACGCCACCATGCCCAGCTGATTTTTTGTATTTTTAGTAGAGACGGGGTTTCACCATGTCGACCAGGATGGTCTCGAACTCTCGACCTCGTGATCCACCCGCCTCGGCCTCCCAAAGTGCTGGGATTACAGGTTTGAGCCACCGTGCCCGGCGACTCTTCCGAATTTCTAACGAATGTTTTGAATGAATATTCAGCAATATCAATGAATAAATAATATGTTGTAGATCAGGGCATTTTGAGACTGAACAAGCATTAAACGTATTTCCTAGAATGCACAGGAGCTTCCCCGTACCATCACCTACCAGATTGAACAAGTGGCAAGTGTTTCTAACGCTGTTAAAGGACTAAAGAGTTTTGCTTAACCCTAAGCTGGGATCCCAAGGACAGTTCTTCAGCAAAAATTTAAAATGTAAAAAGTTTAGACTAACAGTGCTATGCCAAACAACACAAGATATTTATCAATAGGGCCTATATTATCCCATAAAAAGTGAGCTCCACTCTCTTTTTTTTTGAATAATTAAAGTCATTTATTTATTTTTCCATAAGTTATTGGGGTACAGGTGGTATGCAGTTACATGAGTAAGTTCTTTGTTGGTGATTGGTGAGATTTTGGTGCACCCATCACCCAAGCAGTATACACTGCACCATATTTGTAGTCTTCCATCCCTTGCCCCGCTCCCCTCCCTCCCACTCTTCCCTTCAAGTCCCCAAAGTCCACCGCGTCATTCTTATGCCTTTGTATCCTCAGCTTAGCTCTCACATATCAGTGAGAACAGACAATGTTTAGTTTTCCATTCCTGAGTTACTTCACTCAGAATAATAGTCTCCAATCTCATCCAGGTCACTGAAAATGCTGTTATTTCATTCCTTTTTATGGCTGCATAGCAATCCATCATATATATACCACAGTTTCTTTATCCACTCGTTGATTGATGGGCATTAGGGTTGGTTTCATGACTTTGCAACTATGAATTGTGCTGCTATAAACATGCATGTGCAAGTATCTTTTTCAAATAATGACTTATTTTCCTCTGGGTAAATACCCAGTAGTGGATTGCTTGATCAAATGGTAGTTCTACTTTTAGTTCTTTAAGGAGTTTCCACACTGTTTTCCATAGTGATCGTACTAGTTTACACTCCCACAGCAGTGTAAAAGTGTTCCCTGGTCACCACATCCCTACCAGCATCTACTGTTTTTTGATTTTTTGATTGTGGCCATTCTTGCAGGAGTGAGGTGGTATCACATTATGGTTTTGATTTGCATTTCCCTGATTATTAGTGATGTTCGTCATTTTTTCATATGTTTGTTAGCCATTTGTATATCTTCTTTTGGGAATTGTCTGTTCATGTCCTTAGCCCACTATTTGATGGGATTTTTTTTTTCTTCACAGTGTATAGATTGTGAAGATTTTCCCCAACTCTGTGGTTGTCTGTTTACTCTGCTGTTCCTTTTGCTCTGCAAAAGCTCTTTAGTTTAATTAGGTCCCAGCTATTTATCTTGGTTTTTATTGCATTTGCTTTTGGGTTCTTGGTCATGAAATCCTTACATAAGCCAATGTCTAGAAGGGTTTTTCCAATGTTATCTTCTCTAATTTTTATAGTTTCAGGTCATAGGTTTAAGTCTTTAATCCATCTTGAGTTGATTTTTGTATAAGGTAAGAGATGATTCAGTTTCATTCTCCTACATGTGACTAGGCAGCTATCCCAGCACCATTTGTTGAAAAAAGGGTGTCCTTTCTCCGCTTTATGTTTTTGTTTGCCTTGTCAAAGATCAGTTGGCTGTAAGCATTTGGGTTTATTTCTGGGTTCTCTATTCTGCTCCATTGGTCTATATGCCTATTTTTGTACCAATACGATGCTGTTTTGTTGACTATGGCCTTATAGTATAGTTTGAAATCAGGTAGTGTGAGGCCTCCAGATTTGTTCTTTGTGCTTAGTCTTGCTTTGGCTATGTAAGCTCTTTTTTGGTTTCATAATAATTTTAGAATTGTTTTTGCTAATTCTGTGAAGAATAATGGTAGTATTTTGATGGAGACTGCATTGAATCTGTAGCTTGCTTTTGGCATTATGGTCATTCTTGCAATATTGATTCTATCCACCCATGAACATGGGATATGTTTCCACTTGTTCATGCCATCTATGATTTCTTTATTTTTTCTTTTCTTTTCTTTTTTCTTTTTTTTTTTTTTTTTTTTGAGGTGGGGTCTCACTCTGTTGCCCAGGATGGAATGCAATGGCACAATCTTAGCTCACTGCAACCTCTGCCTCCCAGGATCAAGCAATTCTCCTGCCTCAGCCTCCCAAGTAGCTGGGACTACAGGCATGTGCCACCATGCCTAATTTTTGTATTTTTAGTAGAGTCAGGGTTTCACCATGTTGGATAGGCTGTCTCTAACTCCTGACCTCAAGTGATTCGCCCATCTGGGCCTCCCAAAGTGCTGGGATTACAGGCATTAGCCACCACACCCAGCAAAAACTGGTGTTTTGTTTTTTTGAGACAGGGTCTTACTCTTGTCACGAAGGCTAGAGTGCAATGGCACAATCATGGCTCACTGCAGCCTTGACCTCATAGACTCACAAGCAGTCTTCCTACCTCAGCCTCTGGAGTAGCTGGGACTACAGGCACACACCATCACACCCAGCTGTTTGTAGAAACAAAAGTTTCGCCACATTGCCCAGACTCTTCTCAAACTCCTAGGCTTAAGTGATCTGCCCACTTTGGTCTCCCCAAGTGCCAGGATTACAGGCATGAGCCACCATACCTGGCATATGATTATTTTCTATTCATTACAAGTTTTCCAGAATACATATAGAGCTGACAGTATAATTAGAACAGAATCCAAGAGCGTTTCATTGGAAGCATACAAAAAGGAGAGACTGAAGAGACAGAAGATTGTTCCACCAGCATTATCTTGATGACCCCTTGATGACTACAAATCTGTCCAAAGATAAGAAGTATTTAGAATGAGCCAGGTGTGGTGGTTCACACCTATAAATCCAGCAGTTTGGGAGGCTGAGGCAGGAGGATTGCTTGAGCCTCAGCCTCCCATGAATTGCTTGAAGAATTCATGAACAGCCTGGGAAACATAGTGAGACCCCATCTCTACAAAAAGTTTTAAAAATTAGCTGAGCATGGTGGCACATGCCTGTAGTTCCAGCTACTCAGGAGACTGAGGTGTTAGGATCACTTGAGCCCAGGAGGTCAAGACTGTACCACTACACTCCAGACTGAACAACAGAAATAGGTAGAATGGATTACGTTATGTAGTAGGAAAGCCCAATTCCTTTCCTATTGTAATGTAATTTTTATTAAAAATATACAAAATCTCTTTGCTTATTCAATTTTCTTTTTTCTTTTCTTTTCTTTTTTTTTTTTGGTTGTTCGTTTTTTTGTTTGTTTGTTTTGTTTGAGATAGGGTCTTAATCTGTCACCCAAGCTAGAATACAGCAGTGTAATCACAGGTCAAAATGTAGCCTCAACTTCTTGGGCTCAAGTGATCCTCCCATCTCAGCCTCCCAAGTATCTGGGACTACATGCATGCACTATCACACCAGCTAATTTTTTTATTTTTTGTAGAGACAGGTTCTTTCTATATTGCCCAGGCTGGCCTTTAACTCCTGGGCTCAAACAATCCTCCCACCTAAACCTCCCAAAGTGCTGGGATTACAACGTGAGCCACCACACCTGGCCCAACCAAATCAATTTTCTATTCATTAATTTTATAATTCAATAAATCTGCCTCTTAGAAATGAAAGGTTCTAAATGGAGAATTAGTCCTGATTTGTCCCCTAGGTATACTCTTACTGTAAATTAACCAACTGACATTGTTTGTAAATTTTTTTTTAATCTCTGATTAGCAAACAATAATTTCTAGGAAGCTAGAGCACTGATCATTGAAAATTTTGAAACTTAAAGCTTATTTACAAAAATAATGCTACAACTATGACTTTTGCTTTTTAATAATTATCATCATAATCCCTTATATTAATAAGTACTTATGGCTTACTGTTTCCAACATTCATAATCTGAGTATTCCAACAATTCTATAAGAAAAGCATTAAAGGCCGGGCGCGGTGGCTCAAGCCTGTAATCCCAGCACTTTGGGAGGCCGAGGCGGGTGGATCACGAGGTCAAGAGATCAAGACCATCCTGGTCAACATGGTGAAACCCCGTCTCTACTAAATATACAAAAAATTAGCTAGGCATGGTGGCACGTGCCTGTAATCCCAGCTACTCGGGAGGCTGAGGCAGGAGAATTGCCTGAACCTGGGAGGCGGAGGTTGCGGTGAGCCGAGATCGTGCCATTGCACTCCAGCCTGGGTAACAAGAGCGAAACTCCGTCTCAAAAAAAAAAAAAAAGAAAAGCATTAAAAATAAAAATGACCATTTTGCCATTGTAGTAAAAATGTTTAGAAAATTAGGCCTGGCACAGTGGCTCATGCTTGTAATCCCAGCACTTTGGGAGGCTGAGGCAGGCAGATGACCTGAGGTCAGGAGTTTCAGAACAGCCTGGCCAACATGGTGAAACCCTCTCTCTACTAAAAATACAAAATCAGCCAGGCATGGTGGCACACACCAGTAATCCCAGCCACTTGGGAGGCTGAGGCTAGAGAATCGCTTGAACCTGGGAGGTAGAGTTTGCAGTGAGCTGAGATCTCGCCATTGCACTTCAGCCTGGGTGACAGAACAAGACTGTCTTTAAAAAAAGTACAGCCGGGCGCGGTGGCTCACGCCTGTAATCCCAGCACTTTGGGAGGCTGAGGCGGGTGGATCACGAGGTCAAAAGATCGAGACCATCCTGGTCAACATGGTGAAACCCCGTCTCTACTAAAAATACAAAAAAGTAGCTGGGCATGGTGGCACATGCCTGTGATCCGAGCAACTCAGGAGGCTGAGGCAGGAGAATTGCCTGAACCCAGGAGGCGGAGGTTGCGGTGAGCCGAGATCGCGCCATTGCACTCCAGACTGGGTAACAAGAGCGAAACTCCGTCTCAGAAACAAACAAACAAAAAAATACATTCAGAAAATCAAATATAAAAACACCCATAATCCCACACCAGAAATAAATATAATACATGACTTGGTGTACATACTTCCTAACCATTCCATTGTTACAGTTTTTATTAAAATGGCATATTACGGCTGTGCGTGATGGCTCACACCCGTAATCCTAGCACTTTGGGAGCTCAAGGTGGGTGCATCACTTGAGGTCAGGAATTTGAGACCAGCCTGACCAACATGGTGAAACCCCATCTCTACTAAAAATACAAAAATTAGCTGAATGTGGTGGCGCATGCCTGTAATCCCAGCTACTCAGGAGGCTGAGGCAGGAGCATCAACTGAACCTGGAAGGCAGAGGATGCAGTAAGCCAAGATCATGCCACTGCACTCCAGCCTGGGCAACAGAGCAAGACTCCATCTCAAAAAATTAAATGAACAAAATAAAATGGCACATTATACATATAATTTTATAGCTCCCCCCTTTGACATATTAGGATCGTTCTTATAATTATTTCCCCATGATGTTATATTTAATGGATTAAAAGCAGTCCATTGAATAAATATAGCAGAGATTTTTAAGAATCAATCCATTAAGCCTATTTTACAGAAAAGGTGAACCTCAGAGAGGTAAAGTCATACCATAGGGCAAGGTTTATGAATTAAAACCTTGGCCTTCTCATTGCTAACAGAGATTCTAGCCATAATAGTTTCGAAAAGGATTGAAATATACACAACATTTTCTGACAAAAACAGTCGTTAGACTGACTAAAGTCTGAGATACATACCTAGCCACATTCGAATGATGCTCATGTAGTCTTTGTTCTTGGCTGAGAGGAGTTTGTCATAGGAAGGGCAGCCTGCCAAAAGGATGCGATCATGGTCCTCACACATGGATATCAGGTGCTGCTCTGCACTTCGGGTGCAGCACACATGATAATGAGCCAGTTTCGTTATGGCATGTCTGATAGAGTCATCAATGGTCCCACTGACTTCCCCACCTTCAATGTGAAGGATTCGGATGTTCATCAAGGCAGCAGATGTAGCCAGAGCCAGGGCATCAAACCTGTCTCCGTGAACAATCATGATATCAGGCTTTAGGCGATTAAGGACATCTGGCAGCTTCACTAGGGCCAGGCCTACTGACTCCACCATAGCTGCCTCATCTTCTCCCCTCACAATTGTGTGAAGCCTGGTGTTAATGTCAAAGTCATCTTGTTCAATCATTCGATATGTATTTCTAAAGCAGGAGAGAAATAGATATTAAAACATGTTCTTAAACACAGAGCCATAACATACAAGGAAAGCAATCTAACACCAACCTTGAAGCGAGAAACATTAAAATAAATTGAAGTATAACTTACAAACATAAAAATCATATACCATAAGTGTATAAAGCCTGATTAAGATTGTTTGAGATGGAGTCTCACTCTGTTGCCCAGGCTGGAGTGCAGTGGCATGGTCTTGGCTCACTGTAACCTCTACCCCCTGGGTTCAAGCAATTCTTCTGCCTCAGCTTCCCGAGTAGCCGGGGTTACGGGTGCCTCTCACCACACCCGGCTAATTTTTTGCATTTTAGTAGAGACAGGATTTCGCCGTGTTGACCAGGCTCTTTTCGAACTCCTGACCTCAGGTGATCTGCCTGCCTCGGCCTCCCAAAGTGCTGGGATTACAGGTGTGAGCCACCACGCCCGGCCAAGATTTTTACATGAGTACTCTTGTAGCTACCATGCAGATCAAGATATAACACATCTAGCACCTTGGAAGAATCACTTGTGCCCCTTCCAATCAGGACCTGGAGGGAGAAACACCTGATGGAGATTTTTATTTAATTAATTTATTTTTTGAGATGGAGTCTCACTCTGTTACCCAGGCTGGGGTGCAGTGGCACAATCTCAGTTCACTGCAGCCTTTGTCTCCCAGGTTCAAGCAATGCTCCTGTCTCAGCCTCCTGAGTAGCTGGGTTTACAGGTGCACACCACCACACCTGGCTAAGTTTTGTATTTTTAGTAGAGACAGGGTTTCACCATGTTGTCCAGGCTGGTCTTGAACTCCTGACATCAGGTGATCCACCCACCTCGGCCTCCCAAAGTGCTGGGATTACAGGCATGAGCCACAGTGCCCAGCCCACTACAGTTTTATTTGTAAAATCTGGAAAGCAATATAGTAGTGGAAAGAGTGCTACCAGAAAGTGGTCCCCATCCAGATCCCAAGAGAGGGTTCTCAGACTTCATACAAGAAAGAATTCAGGGTGAGTTTATACAGTAATGTTTAAATAAGCAGTTAAATGAAACGCCTTTTGGAAGGTTGGTTTAACACTTTATTCAGGTGAATCTGTTTCAGTTTTGCTTTTAAAGTGCAAATAAGATATTGTTTTTGCTTCTAAGATGTGTGGCCCTTCTGGATTTTCAATGAAAAGCCTGAGGTGTTTATGAAGCCCCTCTAACTTGGTAGGACTCAAACTGGAAACTATCTCCCCTGCAGTGGACAGCACATGAAATATTTACTCAGTTTCTTCAGCCTCTGGCTGTTTCTTCTACCAGAATTTTTGGAGTCTCATCCATGCGCACTTTAGTGGTCAATCAAGAATCTGAGAGGAGTTTACATAAAAGTTTTTGGTTTTTTTTGTTTTGTTTTGTTTTGTTTTTGAGACAGGGTCTCACTCTGTTGCCCAGGCTGGAGTCCAGGGGCAAACTCTCAGCTCACTGTAATCTCTGCCTCATCAGTTCGATTCTTATGCCTCAGCCTTCCAAGTAGCTGGGATTACAGGCACTCACCACCATGCCCAGCTCATTTTGTAATTTTAGTAGAGACAAGGTTTCACCATGTTGGCCAGGCTGGTCTCAAACTCCTGATCTCAGGAGGAGTGGCTTGGGCTATAGGCATGTAGTCCTCCTGGCCTCATGTGATCCACCCACCTTGGCCTTCCAAAGTGTTGGTATTACAGCCATGAGCCACCGTGCCCGATCTACATTATGTACAGATTTTAGGGCTTCTCCTTGGTGGTTCCCTTAGTTCCAGAATCTTTCCCATCAATTTCCAGACACTACGGGCAGTCCAAGTTCCATTTTTTGGCATCTCACCCTAAACAACTGTAGCTTTTTACCTGAGTTCTACCCACCTTTCCCATGTGGACTGGGGGATACTCTCAGGGGAAAAGTTATTTAAACATGGATCTCACCAACTATAGTTCCTTCTTTTACAGATTGAATTTCTTTCCATTTCTGCCTGCTGTTGGTTGCTCTCGAGTACCTTCAACTATTTTTAAAAATATTTTTCCAGAGTTGATGAAGGGTAGTCAGGTATAAGCTGCCCTGTCATTACTGGAACCTGAACTTCTTTTTCCTAAATATTTCATAATTTAAGTTGTATGTTCAGTTCAATTTCTCCTAATTTTTCTTCCAGTAATGAAAACACTTAAGATCACAAATTTATTTTTTATTATGGGTTTTCCTTTATTTTATTATCTCTTATTTTTATTATTTATCTGTGTATCATCTATCTCCTCCACCAGAATGTAAGTTCTGTGAAAGCAGAGACTTTGTTTTTGTCTTATTTGCCACTTGGCACAACAATGCTTGTTAAATAAACAAATGAACAAATGAAAACATTTCACAGTTAAAAGTCTCTCACTTTTGTCTCCCAGTCTTCCAATTCTTCTCCCCAGAAGCAACCAATTTCTTGTGTTAGAATGTACTTTAAACATGCATTTTTGAGCTGGGTGCAGTGGCGCACGCCTGTAATCCTAGCACTTTGGGAGGCCGAGGTGGGTGGATCACCTGAGGTCAGGAGTTCAAGACCAGCCTGGCCAACATGGTGAAACCCCATCTTTAAAAAAAAAAAAAAAAAAGAAAAAGAAAAAAGAAAAACCCCCATGCATTTTCATTAAGTACTAGTCAAATTTCCTATTTAACAGTCTCATCAGATAAATACTATTTTTCCACTCTTGATAACTGGTAGGCAGGTAAGAAACCTACTACAATTTCCCTGAGCGCCTCTCTTCTACTAATCTTCCTGTAAAGGCTTCCTCACTGCAATAAAAGAACTCACTCAGACTTTCATCTCAGGCTCTAGCTAAAATTTCTCTTCTATCAAGAGGATGTTCCTAAATAGTCAGAATTCATGTCATATTTAAAACAAAATCTATGGATCCCTGAGCTATCCATTAAGTTTCTTCTCTGCTCTTTAAGTATTTCCTAATAGCAAATACCTAACTTGTTTTTAAAGAATAGTCTGAAAAGGACAATTTTATTTTAACACAAGGTTCTTTCAGATACTTGTATTTGTGACTCTCTTTGGAGACTGCATTAATGTATTCATGCCACAAGGGTGCACTAGATGCCTTTTTATCACACATAGCAAGATGTATGTAATACCTCTTGTTTTCTCAAAGAGTATCCAGCATTCACTTTTTTTTTTTTTTTTTTTTGAGACAGAGTCTCACTCTTGTTGTCTAGGCTGGAATGCAATGGTGTGATATTGGCTGATTATAACCTCCACCTCCAGGGTTCAAGTGATTCTCCTGCCTCAGCCTCCTGAGTAGCTAGGGCTATAGGCATGCACCACCCCACCTGGCTAATTTTTTTGTATTTATAGTAGAGACATGGTTTCACCATGTTGGCCAAGCTGGTATTGAATTTCTGACCTCAGGTGATCTGTCTGCCTTGGCCTCCCAGAGTGCTGGGATTACAGGTGTGTACCACCGTGCCTGACCCAACCTTTACTTTTTTTTTTTTTTTTGAGACGGAGTTTCACTTTTGTTACCCAGGCTGGAGTGCAATGGCGCGATCTCGGCTCACCGCAACCTCCGCCTCCTGGGTTCAAGCAATTCTCCTGCCTCAGCCTCCTGAGTAGCTGGGATTACAGGCACGTGCCACCATGCCCAGCTAATTTTTTGTATTTTTAGTAGAGACGGGGTTTCACCATGTTGATCAGGATGGTCTCGATCTCTTGACCTCATGATCCACCCGCCTCAGCCTCCCAAAGTGCTGGGATTACAGGCGTGAGCCACTGCACCCGGCTCCAACCTTTACTTTTTAAATGTAGCCTGTGATTAATAACAAACGTAATGTCACCAAAATAAATGCCAGTGGTCACAGTAGTGTAATTCTCTCCTTTATCTTGTAGATTATTTAGATTTTTAAAATCTTGTTCCATATCTACTACTTTGTATGCTGTTGGCCTATAAACCAGTTTTAAAGAATTGCCATTATAGCTCACAAAACAGATACATGGAATCAACATTATTATACTCATACAATATGTATTTATAAGCGACATTTCTCCAAATGTAACAACTGATAACAAATATTAATACTATTTATAGCTACCATTTATGAATAATCTGCTAAGCAGCATCACTGTGATGGATGCTCTATACCACAATCTCCATTCCTCACAATAATTTACAATATGTTTTCATGACGTTTTATAATGAAGAAACTGAGGCTTAGAGATGCTACATGACTTCTCTAAGTCCACATAAAAACTAAGCAGCAGAACTGGAATTTGAAGCTGGGCGCATACAGCTACAAAACTCAAGCTCCCTCTAGCACACCAGTGTAGTGAAGAATAAGAAAATGCTTTCATCTTACCCATAGTCATCTATCAGGTGAGAGCCAAGTACCACGACATCAAGTTCAAAGAACTCAGGTTCAGTTTTAATGCCAAACATGATTGGGGCAAGTTTAGAATAATCTGCACGGTTACAAGTAGCAACACAAACCCGCAGCTTTCGGTTATTTCCATTCTTCTCCATGATTTGTTTGTTTCGTTTTGAGAGGTTCTTAAAATAGAGTTCCTGAAATTGACAAAATAAAAACTTTATAATCAGAATAATAACTCCCAGATGTAACTAAACTTTAAACTTCTCTAAATCAAAAATAGAAATTTTCAGTTTTAAGTCTTTACTAGTTAGTATAGTGATTCTTAATCTTTTTACAAAATACTGTGATTAGTGCTGGGAAGGGGAAAGATGAGTAAGTTAAAAACCTGACCTTCAAGCCTTCATCAGTACCTACACACCAGTGCCCACAAAACTGACAACTCCCAATGCCTATATCTCCTGCTGTATGTCCTAGAACCACCTTCAAGTCAGTGTCCCAAACTGAACTCATTTTCTTTTCCAAACCCGTTCATCCTCAATTATTCTCTGAGTTACACAATTTCATTCATCCAAATGCCTTGAAATCCTTGTCTCTTCTGCTTCTCACCCTGTATCTCCAATACGCTGTCAATTCTACCTGATAAATACCTTTCAAATCTATCTCCTCCTCTTCATCCTTACAAGGACTTCCCCTAGTCCAGTCCCTCATTTTAGGTCTAGACGACAGTAACAGCTGTCAATATAGTTTGCCTGCCTCCTACAAACTTTCTTTTCTATTTGTTTATTTAGAGACAGAGTCTCACTCGATAGCCCAGGTTCGAGTGCAGTGTCACGATCTTGGCTCACTGCTACCCTCGCCTCCAGATTCAGTTTTCCTGCCTCATCCTCCCAAGTAGCTGGGATTATAGTCACCCACCACCATGCCCAGCTAATTTTTGTATTTTTAGTAGAGATGGGGTTCTGCCATGTTGGCCAGGCTGGTCTTGAACTCCTGGCCTTACTTGATCCGCCAGCCTTGGCCTCCCAAAGTGCCGGGATAACAGGCATAAGCCACTGCACCCAGCCTCCTACAAACTTTCAAAGTGATCCTCCTTTCCCACTATCTCTTCCCTAAAATTACCCTTACTCTGTGCCAAAGCCTCCAAACTGCCTTCAGTTCAACTAGTGATTCTCCGTTATCTGTACCTTTATAGATGCCAAGTACTTTTTCCTAAAACTTCCTTTCCCCCTTGCCTGGTCTTCTACTCATCCTTCAAAATTCAAAGTGTTATCCTTTCTGGAAAAGCTTCACACAAACCTCAGATCCTCCTCCCCCACGTTTCTCAGTTGCTGCTTGCTCTGAGCATTATGGCCTTCCCATTCACAGATGTACTATTGCTAAGCTTCTCTGCTCGCTCATCTCTCCCTGCCATGCTATACCCTCCATTCAAAAAGTAAAAATCAGGGGCAAGGAATAAGAGATTTGTTTTATGGAATTTTTTTTTTTTTTTTTTTTTGAGACAGAGTCTTGCTCTGTCACCAGGTGTCAGGCTGGAGTGCAGTGGCGCAATCTCGGCTCACTGCAACCTTTGCCTCCCGGGTTCAAGCAATTCTCCTGCCTCAGCCTCCTGAGTAGCTGGAACTATAGACTCACGCCACCATGCCCAGCTAATTTTTATATTTTAGTAGAGACGGGGTTTCACTATGTTGGCCAGGATGGTTTTGATCTCTTGAGCTCGTGATCCACCCACCTTGGCCTCCCAAAGTGCTGAGATTACAGGCTTGAGCCACTGCACCTGGCACTGGAATATTTTTAAAATTTTTTTTACATTTTTGGAGATGGGGTCTTGCTGTGTCACACAAGCTAGAGTGCAGTAGCTATTCACAAGCACAATCGTAGCTCACTGCAGCCTGGAACTCCTGGGCTCAAGCAATCCTCCCACCTCAGCCTCGTAAGTAGCTGGAACTACAGGCATACACCACTGTACCAGGCTTGGAACATGTGAAACTCCACTAAATCAACATAAAATTTCACCTCATGGACTCTGATCTCAATGTTCATGTTTCAGTAAGTGTATCAATATTTAGAATTTGTAATCAGGAATCTGGAGATGCTTCAGTAAGGATTCCAATACAAGGGGTGCCATCCTTTAGATGAGAGTAAACGCTGAAATTCACTGGAAATTCCATCAGCAGCCTTCCGCTGTTGGTACCTCATCTCTCTTAGCTAAAATTCTGTGACCACGCAAACTCATTCATCATTACGCCCACTCTGAATTTATAATCCCCAGTAAAAACTATTTTCATTGAATGGCAGATTGCTTACAATATAATGAAACAGGCATTCCACGAAGAGAGTTGTATTCAGAACACCTAAGCACTATGTAATCTTTTTTTTTGAGACAGAGTCTTGCTCTGTCACCCAAGCTGGAGTGCCTCCCGGGTTCAAGCAATTATCCTGCCTCGACCTCCCAAGTGGCTGAGACTACAGGCACACGCCACCATGCCTGGCTAATTTTTTGTATTTTTAGTAGAGTTGGGGTTTTACCATGTTGGCCAGGCTGGTCTCAAACTCCTGACCTCATGATCCGCCTGCCTTGGCCTCCTAAAGTGCTAGGATTACAGGTATGAGCCACCGCGCCCAGCCGCAGTGTCTAATCTTTAGAGACAAAAATATTCTTCCAGAAATGGTTGTCCTAAGTGTTCTTCTATATAATCTTTCTTCCAGTGATCAAATTTGAGCTGAATAAATTGTTTTGTTTTTTTGTTTTTTGTTTTTTTTGAGACGGAGTTTCGCTCTTGTTACCCAGGCTGGAGTGCAATGGCGTGATCTCGGCTCACCGCAACCTCCACCTCCTGGGTTCAGGCAATTCTCCTGCCTCAGCCTCCTGAGTAGCTGGGATTACAGGCACGCGCCACCATGCCCAGCTAATTTTTTGTATTTTTAGTAGAGACGGGGTTTCACCATGTTGACCAGGATGGTCTCGATCTCTTGACCTTGTGATCCACCCGCCTCGGCCTCCCAAAGTGTTGGGATTACAGGCGTGAGCCACCGCACCCGGCCTGAATAAATTGTTGGTAATATTTAATTTGCTGGGTGAGGCAAAACAAATCATTCATGGTTTGTCAATTTGTATTTATTGTACAAAGAACAGTAAATGTTCCATCTGGCAGTATTAAAATGCTTAATATTTACTAGGTTACTCAAAGGTTATCCTATCTAAACTGAGAGCAAGCTGACCAAGCGGTGAAAATACAACAATGTTACCTAAAGTCAAAGGTTTTGTTTTGTTTTGTTTTGTTTTGTTTTTGAGACAGTCTCACTCTGTGGCCCAGGCTGGAGTGCAGTGGCGCAATCTCGGCTCACCGCAACCTCCGCCTCCTGGTTCCAGTAATTCTCCTGCCTCAGCCTCATGAGTAGCTGGGATTATAGGCCACCACACCTGGCTTATTTTTATATTTTTAGTAGAGACAGGGTTTCACCATGTTGATCAGGCTGGTCTTGAACTCCTGACCTCATGTTCCACCTGCCTCGGCTTGCCAAAGTACTGGGATTATAGGCATGAGCCACCGCACCTGGCCCAAGTCAAAGCCTCTTTAAGGAAAGAAGTTAAATCTTAAGAAGAAAAATTATGATAAAATGCCTTTTTTTTTTTTTTTTTTTTTTTTTTTGGAGACGGAGTTTCGCTCTTGTTACCCAGGCTGGAGTGCAATGGCGCGATCTCGGCTCACTGCAACCTCCGCCTCCTGGGGGCTCAGGCAATTCTCCTGTCTCAGCCTCCTGAGTAGCTGGATTACAGGCACACGCCACCACGCCCAGCTAGTTTTTTTGTATTTTTAGTAGAGACGGGGTTTCACCATGTTGACCAGGATGGTCTCTATCTCTCAACCTCGTGATCCACCCGCCTTGGCCTCCCAAAGTGCTGGGATTACAGGCTTGAGCCACCGCGCCCGGCGATAAAATGCCTTTTTAAGGGGAGGTTTTAAAAAATAATTTTAATTAACTCAATTTTTATTAGGTAGTATATTCACACGGTTTAAAATTGAAAAGTCACAAGGAGTTAAATAGCAAAAAGTCTTTTCATCTGTGTTCCCCAGCTAGCTAGTTCTTTTTCCTGGAAGCAAACACTTACTGGTTTCTTATCTGTCCTTCCATAGATAAACTGTGATAATATAAATAAATATGTGGTGCATGCCTGTAATCCCAACACTTTGGGAGGCAGAGGCTAGTGGATCACGTGAGCTCAGGAATTTGAGAACAGCTTGGCCAACATGGTGAAACTCCATCTCAACTAAACATACAAAAAAATTAGCCAGGTGTTGTGGCACATATAGTCCCAGCTACTTGGGAGGCTGAGGCAGGACAATCACTTGAACATATGAGGTGAAGCTTGCATTGAGCCAAGATCTTGCCACTGCACTCCAGCCTGGGCGACAGAATTAGTCTCTATCTGAACATACACACACACACACACACACACACACACACACACACACATATATATGTATGATGTGTATATACATATATATATATGTATATATTGTGTATATATACACACCTATACACACACATACACAATGTATATTATACAATTGGTAATATATTCTACAAACTGTTGTTGCAAATCTTGCTTTTTTTATTTTAGACAGAGTCTTGCTCTGTCACCCAGGCTGGCATATAGTGGCATGACCTTGGCTCACTGCAACTTCCACCTCCTGGGTTCAAGAGATTCTTGTGCCTCAGCCTCCCGAGTTGCTGGGATTACAGGTACCTGCCACCAAGCCCAGCTAATTTGTTTGTATCTTTAGTAGAGATGGGGTTTTACCATGTTGGCCAGGCCAGTCTCAAACTCTTGACCTCACGTGATCCACCCACCTTGGCCTCCCAAAGTGCTGGAATTACAGGCATGAGCCACCACACCCAGCCGCAAATCTTACTTTTTAAAATGCTTTTAATTACGACTCAATTAAAGGGTAGAACAGGAACGTTTAAAGATATTAGAAATACCAAATCTAAAAATGCAAAGTTTTGGAAATTGCTGGCTGTAAACTTGTCAAATATACAAATTGTTATAAGAGCCCTAAAATTTAGCAAAAACACTCAACTTTGGCCAGGCACAGTGGTTCTTGCCTGTAATCCCAGAACTTTGGGAGGCTGAGGCGGGCAGATCACCTGAGCAGCCTGGCCAACATAGTGAAACTCCGTCTCTGCTAAAAATACAAAATTAGCCAGGTGTGGTGGTATGCGCCTGTAATCCCAGCTACTCAGGAGGCTGTGTCAGGAGAAATGCTTGAACCTGGGAGGTGGAGGTTGCAGTGAGCCAAGATCAAGCCATTGCACTCCAGCGTGGGAGACAGAACAAGACTCCATCTCAAAAGAAAAAGGAAAAAATTAGCCGGCATGGTGGTGTGTGCCTGGAATCCCAGCTACTCAGGAGGCTGAGACACCAAAATCACATGAACCCAGGAGGCAGATGTTGCAGTGAGCCAAGATCACCCCACTGCACTCCAGCCTGGGCAAATGAGTGAGACTCTGTCTCAAAAAAAAAAAAATTAAAAATAAAACCAAGAAACCTGGCTGGACATGGTGATTCATGCCTATAATCCCAGCATTTTGGGAGGCTGAGGCAAGAAGGACTGCTTGAAGTCAGTAGTTCAGGACCAGCCTGGGCAACATAGTAAGACCCCTGTCTCTACAAAATTTTTTTGTAATTAGCTGAGTGTGGTTGTACACACCTGTAGTCCTAGCTACTTGGGAGGCTGAGGCAGGAGGATCACTTGAGCCCCGGAGTTTGAGGTTGCAATGAGTTATGATCACTTCATGCCACCACACTTCAGTCTGAGTGATGGAGCAAGACCCTATCTTATAAAAAATTAAAATTTAAATCCAGCCCATGACAAGTAAATTTCGTTTTGTAAGGAGGCAATCACTTTTCATCAATACTTTGATGGACAGTCTTGAGTTGAGAGATGGAAAAAGCAGTCAAGAATTGGGTTTTGCGCCGGGCGCGGTGGCTCAAGCCTGTAATCCCAGCACTTTGGGAGGCCGAGGCGGGTGGATCACGAGGTCGAGAGATCGAGACCATCCTGGTCAACATGGTGAAACCCCGTCTCTACTAAAAATACAAAAAATCAGCTGGGCATGGTGGCGTGTGCCTGTAATCCCAGCTACTCAGGAGGCTGAGGCAGGAGAATTGCCTGAACCCAGGAGGCGGAGGTTGCGGTGAGCCGAGATCGCGCCATTGCACTTCAGCCTGGGTAACAAGAGCAAAACTCCATCTCAAAAAAAAAAAAAAAAAAAGAATTGGGTTTCTCAGATTGCCAGTGAGTTCAAGATGAGGGAAAACTTGTCTATATAAACATGGTCTTAGGTAACTTTGTTCTATTTTTCAGTTTACTCATATGGCCAGCTTGCTCTCAGTTTAGGTAGAATAACCTTTGAGTAACCTGGTAAGTACTAAGCATTTTAGTACTGCCAGATGGAACATTTACTGTTCTTTGTAAAATAAATATAAATTAACAAACCATGAATGATTTGTTTTGCTTCACAATATTTTTTTTTTCTTAAGATGAAGTCTCACTCTGTCACTTAGGGCAGTGGGCAGGATCTCAGCTCACTGTAACCTTCACCTCCCAGAGTCAAGCAATTCTCCTGCCTCAGCCTCCCAAATAGCTGGGATTATAGACACACGCCACCACGCCCGGCTAATTTTCTATTTTTTTAGTAGAGACGGGGTTTCACTATGTTGGCCAGGCTGTTCTCAAACTCCTGACCTCAAGTGATCCGCCTTGGCCTTGCCTTACAAAAATTAAAAATTGAAATTAAAAGTCACAAGAGGCTAAATACCAAAAAGTCTTCTCATATGCGTTCCCCAGATATATTAATTATTTTCCCTGGAAGGAACTATAGTACAAATTGGAAAAGAATCACTGCACTTCAGCCTGGGTGACAGAGTGAGACCCTATCTTAAAAAATTAAAATTTAAATAAAAAAAAATAACAGAAATCTTTCAAATGAACATTATGAAGTAGGTGCACTGTCAATAATACCCTGAAGCCCAGAGCTCAGAAAGTCAGAAGGTGGGATTGGATATGTGCATCAATTTCACTCTTCAATTCTATAATTGTAACCTGAGCCACCAAAAGAAAGACAGAAAAACAGATAATAGGTGACAGATGGATGGATGATAGATGATAGACAGACAGATGGATCATAGTTTTCAGACAAGTTTGCTTTCATCTTGAACTCACTGGCAATCTCTGAGAAACCCAATTCTTGTTTCTTTTTTGTTTTTTGTTTTTGAGACAGGCTCTCACTCTGTAGCCCAAGCTGGAATGCAGTGACACAATCTCGGCTCACTGCAACCTCCACCTGCTGAGTTCAAGCGATTCTCCTACCTCAGCCTCCCAAGTAGCTGGGATTACAGGCATGTGCCACCATGCCCAGCTAATTTTTTTGTATTTTTAATAGAGGCAGGATTTCACCACATTGGCTGGGCTGGTCTCGATCTCCTGACCTCAGGTGATCAGCCGCCTGGCCTCCCAAAGTGCTGGGATTGCAGGTGTGAACCACCATGCCTGGTCAGAGAAACTCAATTCTTTGTGTTGTTGTTGAGATGGAGTCTCCCTCTGCTGCCCAGGCTGGAGCGCAATGACGAGATCTTGGCTCACTACAACCTCCACCTCCTGGATTCAAGTGATTCTCCTGCCTCAGCCTACTAAGTAGCTGGGATCACAGGTGCCTACCACCATGCCTGGCTAATTTTTGTCTTTTTAGTAGAGACAGGGTTTCACTGTGTTGGCCAGGCTGGTCTCGAACTCCTGACCTCAGGTGATCCACCTGCCTCAGCCTCCCAGTGCTGGAATTATAGGCGTGAGCCACCGCGCCCAGCAGAAACAATTCTTAAAGGCTACTTTCTGCATTCTCTCAACTCAAGACTGTCCATTATAAATGCTAACAAAAGGTGACTAACCCTTTCCAGAAAAATAATGTCCCACTCAACTGTGGAAAGAGTTCTTTGTGAAGGTAATTTTTTTAAGGCAATCAGCTGAAAATGATGAATACTTGTTTCAAGCAGTCACTGAACAGAGGAAACAGTAAACATTTGCTGAGCCCTTCTGAAGTGCCAAACATTGTGCTAGTAGCTTTACACGTATTAACGCATTTCATCCTCACAGCCCTCATATTAGCCCCACTTTACAGACAGGAGGCACAGAGAAAATAATTTACTTGCCCCAAATCAATGTATAATAGCTCATCACTGGCCAGCCTCGGTGGCTGACGCCTATAACCCCAGTACTTTGGGAAGCCGAGGCAGGTGGATCACTTGAGGTCACTTCAAGACCAGCCTGACCACAACCCCGTCCTACTAAAAATACAAAAATTAGCTCAGCGTGGTGGCGGGCGCCTGTGATCCCAGCTACTTGGGAGGATGAGGCAGGAAGAATCGCTTGAACCTGAGAGGTAGACGTTGCAGTGGGCCCACGTCGCGCCACTGCACTCCATCCTGGGGGACACAGCAGACTACATCTAAAAAAAAAAAAAGTTCATCATTGAGAGAACCGAAAATTAAACCCTTGTCTGAATGACTTCAGTGCTCACAATACTATCCCACATCCAGTGTTTGCCTTGTGTCTGTTCATTCCATAAACATCCATTAAGTACAAATCTTCATTGAAAACATGATAAATCGCCCTTCCTTCAGTGCAATGAGGATGAGACCAACAGGAAGAAGAAGAAAAGAGCTCTATAAAGAAGTCTGAAAGTCAGGGCCCCATTCCGAAGCCATAATTCGGTTTGGCTTCTCCTGCGGTGCTCCTACAGTTGAGTTAACCAGTTACCTATACTGCGAAATTGCACCCCACCCCTCCTACCAGAGGGGTAAAAAATATATATATATACGTTCTTGCGTTCTAAAGATTTTACAAGCATGCTTGTAAAACTGGGGACAGGGGAAGGTGGGGGCGGCATTAACGCTTCTCAAATGTACAAGGAAGCCCAGACTCAGAATGTAGACTCAGAGCAAGGCGGAGACCTTTTAGCCCAGCCCTTTCCGCGCTAGGACAGCTGGCCTTCTAGGCAGCTCTCCACCCTCTCTCGTCCGGCTCCTAACGGGACACTCAGCATCCCCCCTGGCTGGACAGCACTGTCCCAGGGACAAGTCACGCTGGGCCTCCCTCTACATCCCCTCCTCTGCTCATCGGGGCCCACCCTGAGTCACACGGCGGAGCCCTGAATTGGGCCAAAGAGCGGCCCTATGGTGCAGGCCTGCAGGACACTGGGCGAGGCCCGGATCCAGTGGGGGCTTGGGGGTGCGGTGGTGGAAAGCGGCCTGGGGCAGGAGGCCGGGGGAGGCAGCCTGGGGTTGAGCAGGATGCTCTCCCGCCGCCGCGCGGCTCTCACCAGACGCAGAGGCTCCCTCCCGCGCCGCCACCGCGCTCCTCCAGCGAGAGCCGAACCAAATGCCACGAAGCCGGCAGAGAGGGAACCCGCCCCTCGGTTTCCGCGCTCTGGAGCGCGGGTTGATGACTCGTCGCTTGACCCTGACCCCCGCTTCTCCGTCGCCCTGCTACGCCCAGCCGGAGCGCCGAATCCGGGAGCGCGCCCTGACGCCATCCTAGAGGGCTCCCGTGATTGGCTGCCTCCGTCCCCGCCCCGCCCCCTTCCCGGAGGCTGTTGGAAGCGCAGACTGGTTGCAGACCGGCAAAGCACCTTCCGCGGATTTTGCCGGACGGTCCTACCAGTCTGTCCTCCCATCCCCTAGCATCCTTCTCCGTTGGCGACACACGCACTGAATCTCGAGTCTTCCTACAGGGTAGTTGTTTTGGTCTTGCACCCGAGGAGGGATTTCTTGCGCCTCTCGTTCCCTTAGTTATTTCATAGATCAGGACCGAAACAATATTGTCTTGTAGCGCGGCCAACCCACACGTTGTCCCTGACGTTAAGCCTTGCCGTGACCGCTGGAAGACACTGGTGGAGTGTGAATTGATGACAAAGGCATGGCAGAGCCTGGTCAACATAGGGAGACCCTTGTCTCAAAAACAACCCAAAGTCTTACTCTTCTTCAGGAGCTGCGCAAGCCCTTTACCACTACGTTTACCCTTTACTGCCATGTTTCTCCCTGGACGTCCCTAGGCCTTGGGACTAGCTGGGGTTCCCTGTAGTCGAGGCCGCCCCTGAACTCATTATAAACATCATCTGCTGCCTCCCTCTCTCACTTAAAAAGACTCCCGTGATTACACTGGGTCCACTCATTAGTCCAGGATAATTTTCCCTTCTCAAAGTCCTTGTCACATCTGCAGTGTCCCTCTTGCCAAGTGAGGAAACGTATTCACAGGTTCCAGAGATTAAGCTGTGGATATCAATTAGCCAGGCGTGGTGGTGCCTGCCTGCAGGCCCAGCTACTCAGGAGGCCGAGGTAGGAGAATCACTGAAACCTGGGACACAGAGGTTGCAGTGAGCTGAGGTCATGCCACTGCACTCCAGCCTGGTGAAAGAGTAAGATTCTGTCTCAAAAAAAAAAAAAAAAAAAAAAGGAAGAAGAAAAAAAGATGTGGATATCTAGGCCGGGCATAGTGGGCGGATCAAAAGGTTAGGAGTTCGAGACCAGCCTAGCCAACATGGTGACACTCTGTCCCTACTAAAAGTACAAAATTAGCCAGGTACGGTGACACACGCCTGTAGTCCCAGCTACTTGGGAGGCTGAGGCAGGAGAATTGCTGCAACCCAGAAGGCAGTTTGCAGTGAGCCTAGATCATACCACTGCACTCCAACCTGGGCGATAGAATGAGACTCTGTCTCAGAAAAAAAAAGATTGGGGAGCTATCTATTCTGCCTACCACAAGAGGTATTGAAAGTCACTTTAAGTCAAGATGGGTATGTTGCTTTTAAAGTTGTATACAGTACCTCCAAATATGCAGAATAGACGTTAATTATTTCTTCTTGAAAGGTAAAAAAAAATTAACTTCAAAAACAATGCTTAATGTTCAGTCTTTAAAATCTGGGTATTGATTACATAGGTGTGTTTAGTTTGTGAAAACTCAAGTTATAAACATAATATATATGTACTTTTTACGTATGTTGTACTGTAATATGTTTTTAAATGTTTAATATAGCTAGAAAAATTAACTATAAATATAAATACTTTTAACAGTAGGTAATACATTTTGAGAATTGTATGCACTTTCTAAGCCATTTGTAAGTTTTGTGTTTGACCAATATTGAGAATTTTATATTTCCATATGTGGTCAGGTAGTTCTGTGTTCACGGAATCATTTAATGTTAAATGAAGTAATCTTTTTATAATTTTCTTGTATACTTTCTTGAGATCAAACTGCAGCAAGTACCCTTAAGAGGCATTTTCTCTTGGCTTTTTGAGATCACTTTCTGTGGGTAAATAATATTACATTTCTGGATTTCTGTTACTTTACTGTTTAACGTTGTGAATTGACATACCAAAAATCTTCACTAGTTGCGTTTGGTTTATATGATTTGGTTTCATTTGCTGTTAGTTTGAGAACTCTACAAGTTGCAAAAAAATTGCTTACGGCTTTGTAGTATAATAAAATCAGATTTTTCTAGAGGTTACTCCATAAGCATAAATATAACTTCAAGCATTCAGAGCATAATTAGGCTATGACTCTTAAGGACCTTAAGAGAGCCTCTAATCTAACCCTCTCATCAGAGAGGGGAGACCTTCCTACAGCATCCCTGACCGACACTCATCTGGCCACTTTGGGAACATTTCTCGTAACAGACTTGTCTTATTTTATTTGGTGATTTAATTATTATAAAGTACTTTGCCTCTCTCTAAATTCTACCCATGTATTAGTAGCCTAAACATTTCTAAACTAAAATAGCCTAAATTATTCTAAACATCGTATCTATATTCACTCAGTACTCACAACAGCGTTAAGATGTAAATTCTATATAAACCCCCTACTTTACAGATAAAAAGACCAAAACACAGAAGTCAAAGTTGCCTAAGGTTCCACAGCTGTTAAACAGAAGAGCCCAGCCCTTGATCCCACTTGATTAGCTACTACTACTCGGTATTTCCTCTTTATACTAACTAGGGCCTTGCACTTTATTACAGAAACCTATCTCAAGGTTCATCTCAGCCATCACTTTTTTCTTTTCTTTCTTTCTTTTTTTTTTTTTTTTTTTGAGACAAGATCTCACTCTGTTGCCCAGGCTACAGTGCAGTGGCATGATCTCGGCTTACTGCAACCTCTGCCTCCCAGGTTCAAGCAATTCTCCTGCCTCAGCCTCCTGAGTAGCTGGGATTACAGGCACTTGCCACCACGCCTGGCTAATTTTTGTATTTTTAATAGAGACTGGCTTTTACTATGTTGGCCAGGCTGGTCTCGAACTCCTGACTTCAAGTGATCTGCCTGCCTTGGCCTCCCAAAGTGCTGGATTACAGGCATGAGCCACTACACCTGGCCTATAGTATCACTTTTTGGCTAAGTGGTTCCATTAGTTAAGAGTTCACATAACTTTTCTGTTATCCAGCCTACATCTCTCTGAATGACTCACATCAAGGTCTTAAGAGATTTTAAAAGGTATCTTCTTTAAAATCGAGGTATAATCTCTATGGCATTCTCCTGATGTATTAGTTTAGTAAGACTTTCAAAAAAGAAAAGGACATCATTTGGCACAAATTTTTCTTAAGGTTTTTATTGAGGTGTCAATAAATACCTAAGCAGTGTAGTTGAATTTTGAATTTTCATAAAGTAAAACCTGCCACTAAATTAAAGAGAGAAAACATCACCTATGCCCATGGGCTGCCTCCTCAAAAGCTGCCTGTTCATTACCCACGAAAAAACCTGGCAACAAGCCTGTGGCCAGCTAATAGTGACAATGGTAATTAGCTAATGTGCGTAGTAAAGTCGCTCTCTGAAGCATTTGGACTGGAGAACAGAGAGAAGATTGGCCAGTTGGAAGTGAGAGGAAAATGGGGCAGCTGAAAAACAGTCACAGATATGCTGCAGGAGGTAGTGCAGGCAGGCCATAGGGAGAGAGTCCAGGCCTCGACATGACTTGAATCCTGAACACCCTTCTGATTTTAATCTACATGTATTCTCAAGTCTTTTTTGTTTATTATTTATTTAGTTTTATTATTAGTAGTATTTTTTTGGGAGACAGAGTCTCACTCTGTCACCCAGGCTGGTGTGCAGTGGCGCCGTCTTGGCTCATTGCAACCTTCAACTCCCAGGTTCGAGTAATTCTTGTGTCTCAACCTCCCAAGTAATTGGGACTACAGGTATGCACCATCATGTCTGACTAGTTTTTGTCGTTGTTGTTTTTTTTTTGTATTTTTCATAGAGGTGAGGTTTCGCCATGTTGCCCAGGCTGGTCTCACACTCCTGAGCTCAGGCAATCTGCTTGCCTCAGCCTCGCGAAGTGCTAGGATTACAGGCATGAGCCACTGTGTCTGGCCTAAATCCTCTTTTTTAAAAAGATGCCCTGTTCCTTGCATTGGAAGATACTAACAGTAAAACTGTGAGCCAGGGAGAATTTCCAACCTTATTTTGATCCCCACTTCCAACCGATTGATGGTGGCTGCCTGGAGAACTGTGTCAAAAATGACTCTGAGGCTAGGTTTACTGGAAAAGAGTATGTACTATGATGTCTCCCGTGTTGTTTTCTAGGGAGATGGAAGGGAGTAAGGATGTTGTCATGTATTTGCCATCTCTGCCCTAAGCCAGTATCATGAAGAAATCAACAAGCGGTGGAATAAACTGAGGAATCTACCACCATATTAAGCTGGATATTTCTGTTTAATAAATATCTTGGCCAGGTGCGATGGCTCACACCTGTAATCCCAGCACTTTGGGAGGCCAAGGTGGGCAGATCATTTGAGGTCAGGAGTTCAAGACCAGCCTGGCCAACGTGGTGAAACCTCATCTAGTAAAAATACAAAAAAAAATAAAATAAAATTAGCCAGGCATGGTGGCGTGTACCTGTAGTTGCAGCTACTTAGGAGGCTAAGGCAAGAGAATCGCTAGGGCATGGGAGGTGGAGGTTGCAGTGAGCCGAGGTTGCACCACTGTACTTAGTGAAGCAGATTTGGAGATGGGCTGGAGTAGGAGAGAAGATAATGAGCTTTAATTTTGGATACATTGAATTTGTAGCACCTACAGGACATTTCCATGAGATTGAGGATCTGGAGGAAGGTATGCATTAGAGACACAGATTTGTGCTAGACATAATTCACTTTGCAAGCTTCTTTTTTTGGGTTTTGTGTGTGTGTGTGTGTGTGTGTGTGTGTGTGTGTGTGTGTTTTGAGACAGAGTCTTGCTCTGTTGTTCAGGTTGGTGGACTGCAGTGGTGCGATCTCAGCTCACTGCAACCTCTGCCTCCCAGGTTCAAGTGATTCTTCTGCTTTAGCCTCCTTAGTGGCTGGGACTACAGGCACATACCACCATGCCCATTTTTGTATTTTTAGTAGAGATGGGCTTTTGACTAGGCTGTTGGCCAGGCTGGTCTCGAACTCCTGACCTCAGGTGTTCCAGCCACCTCAGCCTCCCAAAGTACTAGGATTAGAGGCATGAGCCACCGTGCCTGGCC